GATGCCAAGGCAGCTGTCTCAGCATGTGGTATTTATGTGAAACAGAAGCAGACGAGAAGTTCATAATGGTTTCTAGTGTACATGAGGACATACTCAGAGAGTCACGTATTGTTTGCCTAGATCAAGTGGTAGCTAACACTCTCACTCACGCTAGGAAGAGAAAATGGGATGATCTCACGGATGAGGAGAAGCAAGATGCGGGTGGCTCAGGTTTACAAAACCCTAAACCCTAAACCCTAAACGCTAAACCCTAAACCCTAAACCCTAAACCGTAAACCCAAAACCCTAAACCCTAAACCCGAAAACCCTAAGCCCTCATGGCTTCACAACCACCCGCGCACCCATACAAGAGGCACGCCCCTGAACCTTCAAAGGCCCTCTGCAACCTGGAAGCCGGCCCCAAACCCGAAACCCTAAAACTTGCTTGGTAGCTTGCGGTTTTCGTGATAGGAGGGATTTGGTATAGTTAAATATTAGGCAGGGCTTTGTGAATTTGGATGTTCGAATGTAGTTGCGGGGGTGGCGGGCGTTGTTGGGATCACAAAATATCAGAAACTACGTGTCTGTAACCATTTCGGCATCTTGAAAAAAGACATCGCGCTGTGAACCCTGAAGTCTAAGTTTCGGAGCCCCTAAACCTCGAATATGAACTTGACAGTCAGGCATTGAAGTCGATGAGAGGAAGACTGCAAATCCAGCACCTCAAGTACCCAAATCTCGCCAAGGAAGAGAAGAGGCGACGGTACTGGTGGACGCCCTGGAGGACATGCCGCACGAATGTTGCGTCCTGCATCTCGTCCCATGCATTCCTACTATGGATCTTGAACGTCTGACTTCGCAGGACAAGCCAAAGGCTATGGCATTATCGACGTGGCATCTGAGCCTGTAGCTGGGTTTGCGTGCTCCAGACGTTGAAGGGTTGTGTTAAGTTGTATAAAGGTAGTTTGGGGTTAGTACGGCTTTGGAGGATGTAGTTGATATTGTTCAGGTCGAGTTGTAGATGTAGCAGCTGGCGAGTTTGCGCAGCTAAAGTCTTCCTGGTGGACAGTGGCATTATTGAGACTTTTAGTTCTGATGGGCTCGGAGAAGTTGTTTGCGTCAAAGGAGCAGCGTGCGAAGTCGGGTTGAATGGAAAGGGGCATGAGGTCATATGGACCCGAGCCTCCAGTTGCTTGCTGCACGCAAGCTGCACACAAACCGACGACGAAGCGGATCTTGCTGAGATTCTCTCTGCGTCCGATGAAAGGATTGTGGTGCAGTGGCCGTAGTTGTTGCATGTTTCTGTTGGCCAGTATCGCATATGTTGGGCTGTCAGTTTACTTACTGCCATGGTCAACACTGGTGTGGATGCGAGGGTTTTGCTGCCAATGCAGGGATTGTGGTAAATATTAATGCGAACAACAATCAACACAAAGAACGCACGAAAACAATTTTGACAGTTCAAGTGTAGGGATGAGGTTCTGCGAACAGATTGCACTTGCAAGCGCACGCGCGTCCAACAAGTACAGCAATCAACCCACAAAAACATTAACGCGAACAACAATCAACAGAAAGAACGCACGAAAACAAGTTTGACAGTTCAAGTGTAGGGATGAGGTTCTGCGAACAGATTGCACTTGCAAGCGCACGCGCGTCCAACAAGTACAGCAATCAACCCACAAAAACATTAACGCGAACAACCATCAACACAAAGAACGCACGAAAACAATTTTGACAGATCAAGTGTAGGGATGAGGTTCTGCGAACAGATTGCACTTGCAAGCGCACGCGCGTCCAACAAGTACAGCAATCAACCCACAAAAACATTAACGCGAACAACAATCAACACAAAGAACGCACGAAAACAATTTTGACAGATCAAGTGTAGGGATGAGGTTCTGCGGCGGGTTCAACAAATACAGGCAACCAGCTCACAAGAATATCAATGCGAACATTTTTCATAAACAAATTTTAGCATGTATTAAACCTTCTGACGCGTATTGTGTAGCTTCAGTGTGAGCATAAACAATAAGTTTTGCTTTGCTTCTTAGTACTGCCCATAGAAACTAAGCAAAAAGAACCCTAAAGGTATCAGCCTCATATATATATATGTATGCATGTATATACATAAACATATCATATATATATATATGTATGTATATATATATATACACCTACATATAAACATAATTTTATACTTTGATGGATTCGTGGGCATAGGCATGGGGGCTTTTGTGCGGCCCGATTCGGAGGCAAACTCCTACAAGCTCCTTAAAAATTCGGAAGTCTCAAAGCCCTGCAACCTTAGGCCCTTTGAAAAGCACGCACGAAGAGTGCTGCGACCCTAAACCCTAAACCCTAAACCCTAAACCCTAAACCCTAAACCCTAAACCCTAAACCCTAAACCCTAAACCCTAAACCCTAAACCCTAAACCCTAAACCCTAAACCCTAAACCCTAAACCCTAAACCCTAAACCCTAAACCCTAAACCCTAAACCCTAAACCCTAAACCCTAAACCCTAAACCCTAAACCCTAAACCCTAAACCCTAAACCCTAAACCCTAAACCCTAAACCCTAAACCCTAAACCCTAAACCCCAAACCAACCCTAAACCCTAAACCCTAAACCCTTAACCCTTAACCCTTAACCCTTAACCCTTAAACCCCAAACCTTCGAGGATACCCGGGCTGCTGTTGCCCTTGGCCTGGGCGGCCCCCGAAGGCCCCACGGAGTCGGGTTCACGTCTCTGTCAGTTGTATCTTATCGTCAGCTGAATCTAGGGTTTAGGGTTTAGGGTTTGGGGTTTGGGGTTTAGGATTTAGGGTTTAGGGTTTAGATATCAGGCATCGAGTTGAACGATGGGGTGTCGTCGCTATCGCCAGCAGGCACGGGCAAGCTGAGCTTTGGAATGTTCGGCGCTTCAAATTTGGGAGCGTCAAACTTTGGCATCGAATCGGTGTTGAACTTGGGAGCCTCGAACTTTGGAATAGCGGGCGCCTGAAATTTTGGTACGTCGAATTTCGGTACGTCGATTTTCGGCATCGACTCGAGGTTTCGGAAATTCTGGGGTGCCAGCATTCTTGGGACTTTTGGTTTTCCATCTTCTTTTTTAGACACCTTAGTCCGAGCCCCCAAACCAAACCAAAGCCCTGTACGCTGCCAGGCCGCCCCAGGCGTCGGCGGCAGATTGCAGAGTTCCTCGTCGCTGCCTGGTGATGCCATGAAGGAAGCGGGGTTTAGGATCGATAGGGCTACCCTGCTTTAGATGGATTTTTTGCAGTCACCCTAAACCCTAAACCCTAAACCCTAAACTCTGAACCCTAACCCCTAAACCCTAAACCCTAAACCCTAAACCCTAAACCCTAAACCCTAAACCCTAAACCCTAAACCCTAAACCCTAACCCTAAACCCTAAACCCTAAACCCTAAACCCTAAACCCTAAACCCTAAACCCTAAACCCTAAACCCTGAACCCTGAACCCTGAACCCTGAACCCTGAACCTTTTACGGGGATGGGGTTTTCATCAGGTTATTTGGGGCTCTTAGGGACTCTGGGGTTGCTAGAGCTTTCAGGCTCAGGGGCTGGAAGGCTTGGAGGGTTTAGGGTTTAGGGTTTAGGGTTTAGGGTTTAGGGTTTAGGGATCTCAGAAGTTGGGATGTTCCCCCTTATATGAACAGTACTCTAATCCCTCTTGAGGACACTTAGTGCAAGGGGGAACATCCCAAGTTTAGGGTATTCAGGGGGACCATTGAGTGGTTGGGTTAGCGATCGGTTCCTGCGGGAACCAAAACATTCTGAGTTTCACACTTGGAAGCTCAGAACCTCTGGAGCCCTAAAGTTTCCCTTCTCCAGGAGTAGACCGGCCGAGAAGCTGAGAAGGGGCGCGTTCCCGGGGTCGGCTGGAGAGCCCATCTTTTAAGGGAACTCTTTGCACGGGTTTTTTCAATGGTATTGAGGGTATTGAGGGTTTAGGGTTTTTAGGGTTTAGGTACTATTTTTACAGGGTAGCTTAAGAAGGGCATCTTAAGAAGGGTATGATACAGGGTGTTCATGGAACAACTCGAAGGCTCTTTAAAAGGGCGCGCTGCTCCCCAGCCTTCCTCGGCAAAGCCAGCACGCCACACTCCCCCCAGTCAGCCCCAACGAGCCCCAACCCTAAACCTCCTAAACCCTAAGCCCCCTAAACCCTAAACCCTAAACCCTAAACCCTAAACCCTAAACCCTCAAAGGCCCCCAGGCATGAGTAGGTTTTCCTTGGGCCCCCTCATCGGCCTGGCCTCCAAAGTAGGGTTTAGGGACATTGAGGGTCGTAGGGTTGTAGGGTTGTAGGGTTTAGGGTTTAGGGTTTAGGGTTTAGGGTTGAGGGAGGTTCCGGAACTTGACTTTCTACAACGGCGGGTCTTGGACCAAGACAAGCTGAGGTGGGCATTGCTTAGACTTAGACATTAGTACCTTAAAACATCTCCTTGCAGAAGGGGTTTAGGGAGGCCCCTAAAGACCTAGTAAAGGTCCTGCAGCCCCCTCTCCCCCAACTTGACAAGACTTCTGCGCTTTGCCTTTGCAGCTCCTAGCTGGAGACCTTGTGACCCTGACGGCGGCATCCTAAAAAGGGTTGCCTGTTTAGGGCTTAGGGCTTAGGCTTAGGCCGTAAGGTTTAGGGCATCGGCTCGCTTTTCCCAATCCGCAAGACGAGGGCTTCAAGCAATCAGAACGCAGCCAGAGAAAGTAAACATGTATGTTGTTCCCCTCGTCGCAAAACACGAACTTGACGTGGCCTCCGCTGCTGAAGTGACCACGCCCACGTGTAGGCGTTTAAAGCGCGCTTGCCCCAAAAAACCATGCGGCCATTACGACAACCTGTCAGCAATAAAGGTGATACTACACGTGGTCAGCACATCGCTACAGTTTCCCGGCTTTCGGTGCTGTTGTTTACACGCAGTTTACACTTGTGTGGATTCATGGGCTTGGCAGCGTGATTGCCATGAGCGAAACTGCAGCGGTTTTCGGCTTGAATCTTGTCAATGTTACCGGGCGGTGACAGCAGCATGCTGCGTGTAGTGCTCGGTGTTTGGGCGTTGTCCTTGCAGGTGCGAGGGTTGATCGTTTCGGGTTTCGGGACTTGGATGACTTATGACATCTCTTGACTGTGTCGTATCCATCAAATGCTTGGCATTTGCAACCCTTTGGTTCGATGTCATGAACACCAAACTTTGACTTCATGGTCAACACGTAAGATAAGTCTCCGGTTTCAATTGTTCTTGGCGTGGTAGCGGATGCTAACGTGTATACCCTTTGTGGGCACTTTGCCTTAAACTCCTTCGACCCCTCGACTTCTCTAAACGCGCTGAAAACCATCAGCCGTGGGTTTAGGCACCCAACCCTCAACTCCAAACCCTAATTAAACCCTAAACCCCCTGCAGTGCGTCGCTCTGTTGACAGCTAGGCGGGTGGCAAATCCCAAACCCTCAGCCCTAAACCCCAAACCCTCAGCCCTAAACCCCAAACCCTGAAACCCTGGTACCAGGCGATGGCCTCCTCGCAGGGGTGGAATTGGGTCACAGATGCTGGAAGTGTCGCTCAAGGGATCTGCACGTAGCTCGACCCAGCCAGACTACGACGACGACTACTACTACTTACTACATACTACATACTACATACTACATACTACATACTACATACTACTTACTACTTACTACTTACTACTTACTACTTACTACTTACTACTTACTACTTACTACTTACTACTTACTACTTACTACTTACTACTTACTACTTACTACTTACTACTTACTACTTACTGCTTACTACTTACTACTTACTACTTACTACTTACTACTTACTACTTACTACTTACTACTTACTACTTACTACTTACTACTTACTACTTACTACTTACTACGTACTACTTACTACTTACTACTTACTACTTACTACTTACTACTTACTACTTACTACTTACTACTTACTACTTACTACTTACTACTTACTACTTACTACTTACTCCTTACTACTTACTACTTACTACTTACTACTTACTACTTACTACTTACTACTTACTACTTACTACTTACTACTTACTACTTACTACTTACTACTTACTACTTACTACTTACTACTTACTACTTACTACTTACTACTTACTACTTACTGCTTACTACTTACTACTTACTACTTACTACTTACTACTTACTACTTACTACTTACTACTTACTACTTCCTACTTACTACTTACTACTTACTACTTACTACTTACTACTTACTACTTACTACTTACTACTTACTACTTACTACTTACTACTTACTACTTACTACTTACCTCCTACTACTACTACTACTACTACTACTACTACTACTACTACTACTACTACTACTACTACTAGACGAGTATCATTTCCTGCACGCCCCAGAGTGTTTCTTTTTCAAGGTTTGAGGATGCCTAATTAAGCAGAAAAAAAACTCCTTATTCAAGCCCCTGAGTTGGGATTGGGCTTCAGAGGTGCACATAGCGGTGAACTTCTTGGGCTTCTTAGGTCTTCTTGGACTGAGTTCCTTGTCACTCTTTGATTGACTTTCGGTGGGCCTTTTTCCTGAGTCATGCCGGTTGCTGAGCTGTTCCTCTGCACTGGTGATTCTTGATGCTCCCTAAACCACTATTGAACCCTACTTTCATCATGTATTTGGGATCGCGTGCTTCGTTATGAATCGTAGGGCTCCCCAAACCCTCAGAGTGAATGAAGGATCGCCTCGGTCAAGGGCTCCTTTGCGGTGATCACCAGCGCCGGGACTGCACATGCTTGGGGGAATGCCTTTGAAAATGGGGCCGTCCTCGAGAATGTGGTGGCCATCGTTCCTTTCAATGCCCAGAACGGAGATGCTTTCCTAGCCCAAAAGGTCAGGGACGGTGAGTGGGGAGGAGGGGGTTTACTATAGTATACTGGTATACATAAGGTTCTACCTTCCAGCGGCTTGTTCACTCGCGCCGCGCACATGTCGTTTACATCTGTATTTGCAGTGTTTCGTGTGGGTGACATGCCGAAATCATCGGTGGGCGCAGTGTTGTCGGCACCTGCTGTTTCACACCTTCGGTACCTCGGTTTAGCTTGGTATTTACAGTGCTGTGTGTGGGTCACAGGCTGCAAACAGTGTAAAAACCGATGCGGCTGGACATGCTGGGCCCGCGCGATGATTGCATCCGTGTTACCAGTGCGTGCGAATGCATCCATGCCGGCACGATGATTACGTCTGTGCTACCAGCACATCCGTTCCCGAGAGCATCCATGTCCGCACGATGATTACGATCGTTACCAGCGCATCCGTTCCCGAGACGATCCATGCCCGCACGATGATTATGTTCGTGTTGCCGATGCATGCGAATGGCCAGAGCATCCATTCCTGCACGATGAACCAGCGCATCCATTCCCGAGACTATCCATGCCCGCACGATGATTACGTCCGTGTTACCAATGCGTGCGAAATGTCCAAAGCATCCATGCCCGCACGTCTGGTTGGTGGGGACAATCAGTGCGAGAGTCAGATTGCGATTGGACAAAAACCAGCTGCGCAGGCTGAATGCCCTGGGCAGAATGGCGCCGCGCAATGCGCACGCCACTCTGCTTTCTGCTCGTCGCCTGTTGCGGAAGCCTGGATTGCAAACCGTGTTCGCACAAAGAGAGCCGGACTTGTGGGATGCGATCCTTCGCACTATTGAGATGTGAAGCATGATGGAAAGTGGCTGTTTTGAAGAGCCGACGCGTGGGAGGCGCAGCGAACCTGAAAAAAAACAAATCGCAACTTTTGAGCGCGGTTGGTGCTTGCCCTGGGCCCTTGAAAACAGGCAGCAACGAAGTTTTAACAATTTGGTACAAACCGCTGGCGATAGTCATACATATAATGTCATTACTGTGCAAGTTGCGTTCATGGGACTTTACGAAAATAAGGGAACCCCAAAAATAGACCCCCAAATAGTCGGGTTCCCTGATAGAATAAGGCTCTCTTAATAAATTAATGGGTGCCATACAATTTCGTAGAAACATTAGAAACCACCCTAAATAGAATCAATGCCAAACCGTATAACTTGTGAGGCAGATGGCAGCGTGGAGCCCTGGGATGAGCCATGGCCGAATCGCCACTTCGCACTTGACAGGGCAGGACTCGTTGGTGATCTCTCCGGTGTGGCGAACCTCAGTGTCAGTGAAAACTACATTGCAGCTCTCAACACTTCCGGCTTTGCCACAATCTTCGATCATGAAAGTGTTGTTCATGAAGTTGCCGGCGTAAAGGCCATCCATGCATCAGGAAATTACGGCTTTGTGCTTGAGATGAACAGCGGCAGTTTTGAGACTGCCATGATATCGGTGGATGAATTGCCGTCTTCAAAACTAGCGCAGATGCAGTCGGTGGGCGTGCGCGAGTTTGTTCACATAACCTCGGCATGGGCGGCGCTTCTTTCGGATGAGACGGTGATCACGTGGGCCAAGCAGAGCGCAACCCAGTGGAATGATGTAGTAGAAGCGGACCTGGTCGGAGTCAAGAAGATTGCCACGACTAGTATGGCATTTGCGGCTCTCCTTAGCGATGGCAGCGTCAAAACCTGGGGCCACGATGTTGGTGGGAAGGTTCCCTATGCCGTGCGGCCCGAGATTGCATCTGGGGTCGTTGATGTTGTGGGAGGAGGAAGTGCTTTCGCAGCAATCAAGGAAGAAGGACACGTGGTGGCGTGGGGCTATGTGAATCCCGTTACTGGCATCACGGAGGCTGAGGCCAGCCCGCCTGCTGACCTTGACAATGTGAAGGCCCTCTTCTCCAATGAGGATGTCTTTGCTGCCTTGAGGCACGATGGAAGCGTGGTCGCCTGGGGTCGAAGCGATAAGGGCGGGGAGCTTCGGCGGCAATCGAACGTTCTTCCTAAGACCCAACGGCTCCAAGCCTCTATTTTTGTTGAGGGCCCTATCGTCGAGTACTGCGGTGGGAGCGCCGTGAACTCAGGACTACTCCTACAACGGCGCTGTGGCCGTGGTCGACATCAAGGCCAGCGCTGGTGCTTTTGCAGCACTCAAGGCAGGGCTTGGGGACGGCCGTAGGGCTGTAGGGCTTTTATAAGATGGGAAAAGATGCTTCAGGGTCAGGGCTGATATCGTTAACGAGTTTGTACGAGTTTCAACCAGCCCTAAACTCTTTGGGAGGGGGGTTTGAAAGGTTAGGCTGGTTTTTAGGGCTTAGGTCATCAAGTCCAGATTGTAGCTCATCAAGTCCAACCCAAGACCCCAGAGGCGTTTGGGGCTTCGGAGCCCGATATGGGCCCTCAGGGCCCTAATCCCTAAATCCCTCGGAGCCCATAGGGTTTAGGGTTTAGGGCCCCTGGGTTTAGGCGGATGGCAGCGTGATGGCGTGGGGAGATGCAAATCAGGGTGGAGACACGAGTGTGAGGAGCAGTTGGGGAACTTCGGATGCCCTTACGAATGTGGTGGAGATCTTTGCGAGCGAGCGCAGCTTTGTGGCCCGCAAGGAGGATGGTGGTTTGGTCGCCTGGGGAGACCCAAATGGAGGCACCACGGGGCAAAACGAATCCTGCACCGAACCCTAATCTGATCTCTCAATCCGCTCCCGAAGCAAACCCGCTGCATTAAACAAACAGCTAGAAACCTCCTCCGGCCCTTAGGCCAGTACTCTTCAAGCCTTCTTCTATGTCCCCGCTAGAGGTGGGAATCTGACTTCCAGCCAATGGGGGCCGGCACCGTTTGATCCAACCGTGTGCGCACCCCCAGCCACCACCACTGTGGCACCGTGGACCACTCGTACCACGACCACGACCACGACCACAGCCAGTACGACCACGACCACCACGACGCCGACGACCACGACCATTACGACCACCACGACCACCACGACGACCACCACACTACCCGTTCCAACGGTGGTTGAAGTGCAAGTGGTCCTGGGAGCGACTCCGTCAAGTTGGGTGGGCCATCACAGAGAGGAAACTTACAAAGCTGAGATGGCTCAAGGCTTTGCAGGGGAGGTGGGAGTGGATACATCTCAGGTGACGGTGGAGTTTAAGTCATTGTCTCGGCGGCTGCAGCGTGGCGACGGCGGCGAGCCGACCGGCGGCGGCGAGCCGACCGGCGGCGGCGAGCCCACCGGCGGCGGCGAGCCCACCGGCGGCGGCGAGCCCACCGGCGGCGGCGAGCCGACCGGCGGCGGCGAGCCGACCGGCGGTGGTGACCAGCCGACTGAAGGCGGCGATATCGAATGGAAGTATTTCTATGCCATCTTTGAGGTGACCTACCCCAGCGTGCATGCCGCAGAAGAGGGCAAGAAAGTCATCGATCTCATCGGCGAAGCCAGCCTGAGGCAGAAGATCATCGTTTGGGTGAGCCTCCTCTCGGATGTGAAGGTGGGGCTTACAAGGGGTCCATCCATAAGCACGGAAATGCCTGTAGAATTCTGTGAGGTTAACCAGATCGTCACCAGCATTGCCGCCACCACAACGACCACAACGACTTCAGGCAGGGTTTGTCTGCTCTCCCCTCCCCCCCTCCCCCCCCTCCCCCCCCTCCCCCCTCTCCTCCCCTCCTCTCCCCCCCCCTCCCCCCCTCCCCCCCTCCCCTCCTCCCCCCCCTCCCCCCCTCCCCCCCTCCCCCCCCCCCCTCCCCCCCTCCCCCCGAATCCGATTTCGCTCGATGGTAATGACTCCCTTATTGTGGTTTGGGGTTTAGGTTGTTTAGACGGTGTGGGGTTAGGGTTTAAGGGCCTGGAAGGGGGGGGATGCCATGGGGGGGGTGAGAACGCACAGCGCATCCCAAGACGAAGAACAGCAACAACGCCACTACGACCACCGCTGCCACCTTCTCTGCTGCCGCCGCCGCCGTCGCCACCACCACCACCACCACCACCACCACCACCACCACCACCACCACCACCACCACCACCACTCCTCAATGCACTTCCAGCGAATAGACAAGTCTCGCAGCCACGCAACATGTCTTTTCAGTCAACTGCAGGATCGTGCACTCTAGAGATCTCTACAGACCGTCTACAAGGGTCTTCATTCCTAAGCTGTCCTAAGCTACACCCTGTCAGGTCAGGCCACAACAACCACTACGACTGCGGCCGTTGAGACTACTACCGCAGCTGCGGTTGAGACGGTGGTTGTAACGACCGTGGAGATCACAGTGGACGACCCAGCAACGATCACTGAGAATGAAACCATCACCAATGCCATGACTGAAGGCTTTGCAGACTCCGCGGGAGTGGATTCATCTCAGGTGACGCTGGAATTTGAGCAGTCGCGTCGACTCGAAACAAGGAAGCTACAGGTTTCGCTTATCGCCATCTTCAAGGTGACCCTCCCAAGCGCCGAGGCCGCAGGGCAGCTCCAGGCGCAGATCGATGCCATCCCAGTGGCGGACATCAACACCTCCATCACCGGGAAACTTGCAGATGCTGGCTTCACGGGCACTGTCGAGGCCATTTCAGGGCTGCAGTTCACCCCAAGCAATGCTCTACGAATCCCTAGAATCCTTAGAATCCCTAGAATCCCGAGGTCACCGGCAAAACGACATCGGTCACCACAGCGGAAAGTGGAGGAAACGAAGTTTCTTTCTGCCCTGAGAAGGCAATGCTGGGCCTTACAGTGGCTTTGTCTCTCGCGTGCGCATGAGCAGAGTTTTGTGAAACCTGAGTGCTAGTGCTATGGCAATCAAGGCTGAATCTCATCTTGAAACTTGTACACAGCTTTTGCAAGTCAGAGCTCGCAACAACACTGCCGAATGCGCCGCACGACACTTCTCGCGAACCTTCGGCGAACAGCTGGGCACCTCCGTCTTGCAATCATGAGTCGCGCAATGGACATGCGACGATGCAAGCTGCACAACTGGCCATTTAATCTGGTGGGCTTCCCAAATCTTCCGGAGAAGTTGGGGGGGCTCCACCATACACGTACATGTACAGGGGCCCTTTCATAGAATGGGCAGCATCAGCTGCTCTAGCGAGGTACTGAGAGTCTGCCTGGTGAAGAAGTCTGCCAGGCAGGGCTTGTGTGTAGCTCACAAAACGGAACCCTTTAGCCCCCTCAGGAATTATTTCAATATTTCAAGTTCATATGAAGCCTAGAAGAATATTACAAATAGTCTTTTCATTAAGGGAGGGGAGTATAGAACCTGAGTTTAGCCGGCGCCTAAGTTCTCAAGTAGCACTCGACCGGTTGCTGCGCAGCTCAACACCATCTCGCGGAGCCCTTCGAGCTCTTTAGCATTGCCGCCCTTAGGCCCTTCAAGTACCTTTGGGGGGGGGGGGGTCTCCGGAATTGGAGGGTGCCTTCTTGGGGTCCGTGTTATCAGGGAATCCTACTGTTTGGGGGCCTATCTTAGGGGGCCCCCCCCCCCCCCCCCTTTTTTCGGAACCCCCCCCGCCCCCCCGCGGCGCAAGGTTATCAGTATGATTGCCTATAGTATAGGTACTATGTATGCTGAAAAAGGCCCCCCCCCCATGTCCTAAACCCTGCGTTCATCTACAAGTGTAGCTAATGACTGAGAGGGACATCCGCAACACGCCACAAGATGAATCCTAACCCGAAAGCCCTGAAACCCTAGACCCTAAACCCTGGGCAACCTCAAGCCCTAAGCCCTAAGCCCTAAACCCTAAACCCTAAACCCTAAACCCAATAACCCTAAACCCTAAACCCTAGCACCATTGCGTGGGGCCGGCGAGTAGTGGCCCCATTCGATGGCCCAGCGCTCCCTGGGTAGCCGAGAGCTCGCCCGCGAGATTGGTGCTCTGGGGCGACTGGGGCTGCATTTGGAGCATGATAGGGTTGGGGGTTTAGGGTTTAGGGTCTAGGGTTTAGGGCTTAGGGCTTGGGGTCTCGGGTCTAGTTGTAAGGGTATGCTTCATGTTCTTGAAAGGCTTGAAGTGTTGAAAAGGGTGTTTCAAAAACGGTTTCAAAAGGGCTTTTAGGGGCTTAGGCACTTGCTGCGGCAGTTGCTGTGGACAGTCTAGAGGAGCTCTGGTTTAGGGTTCAGAGGTTTAGGTGTGTGGGCTTTTAGGGTTTAGGGTTTCGGGTTTCGGGCTTAGGGTTTGCCGCATCTGGGTTAAAAGTGGGAGCCAGTCGGGCACGGTCGGGATGCCGTGACCCGAAGCCCCCCGGAACCCCCAAGTGCCCAAAACCCCCCCCTAAATCCCCAAAACCCTAAACCCCCCAAACCCCCCGAAACCTCCCAAACCCCCCGAAACCCCCAAAAACCCCAAACCCTCGAAATCCCTTGAGTCCCCCTTAACTCCCCTATGTCCCCTAAACCCTAAACCCTAAACCCTACACCCTAAAACCCATACGCACCCTCTCAGGCACCGCTCGCAATGGAGGCGCACGAATTATCATACAGCGCGGCCTGGAAACTAAATTTAAGAGCCTCCGGCTCAAGCCGCCGACCCCGCTGGAGCATAGTTGAAAGGTCTAAACCCGCTCGTCGGCTCAAAGGATGCTGATGCTTTCCTCATCGCATGGTTCGAAGATCATCCCAGCCTGCTCGGCAGAGTTCTGTGAAACGTTGGGGCGGGGGGGGGGGGGGTAGCACCAGGACCCAAACAGTTTAGGTTGAAAGAAAAAGACAGGGCGGGGGTGGGGGCCTAAACCCTCAACCCAAGCCCGGGAGGGGGGCAGCGGCGCTGCTGCACCATGTATAGGGTGTTTCAATGGGTTTATAGGGTTTATGGGTTGAGGGCTTCGTTTTGTTTTTTCGCATTCCCGCATTGACTTGGCCAGGGACGCCATCGCCCGCTTGGAGGAGACTCTGCCGAGACAGTCTACCCTCAACGAAGAATTTGGGTTTGGGGTTTCGAAATTTAGGGTTTAGGGATTTAGGGTTTAGGGTTAGGGTTCATAGTGTAGGGATTTAGGATTTAGGATTTAGGGATTTAGGGTTTAGGGTGTTACGGCTTTGAACTTTTTGAGTCTCTGCAGCTCGAGGACTAGGGTTCGGCACTCGATGCTGGCATTCCCACACACTTGCACGTGGGAATGTGGCTTGTCGATCATTCCCTAAACCCCAAACCCTCAACCTCAGGCCCGAAGCCCGAAGCCCGAAGCCCTAAGCCCTAAGCCCTAAACTTACTTGGAGAGTAGGTAACCTTTAAACTTTTTGGGGTAATATAGTCCCCTTATAATCCCATTCGTTCCCCTAGGTACTGGACAAGTAGGTAAACCCTGTAGCCTAAGACGGAAGTGCAGCTTGACTGCAGTGGATGCCCCGCGCTCAGTCGGGTAGAACGTTCAGCTTTCTGGCCCCTAAAGCCCCTAAACTGGCTGGTCCTTAGTAGGGAATGAGGGAATGCGGTACTTCATGGAATCCCCTACCCAGAAACTCCAATATCCCTTGGCTAAGGGATATACCTTAAATTCCCATAGGACCCCTATTGTGATGTAAGGTATGATCCTTAAGTAAGGGATATTGGAGTCTCTGGGTAGAGGGTATATGTGGGGCCCACATTCCCTCCCTGGTAAATGGCGAAGCCCGAGCAGGAATGGCGCAAGCGGGGTTCGGAGCCTTCTGCTGAGGGACCCAGAGTGGCATTCCGGAGGTTCGTTTAGGGTTTAGGGTTTGGGGTTTAGGGTTTAGGGTTTTGGGCTTTCTTAAGGGCTCCATGGTGGTTTGGGGGTCAGGGTTTGGGGTTTGGGGTTTGGGGTTTGGGGTTTGGGGTTTGGGGTTTGGGGTTTGGGTTTGGGGGTCTGGGGTCGAGGGTTTAGGGTTTAGGGTAGCTTTCCTACTGTAGCCCCTTCTGAAAAGGACACTCCTCCCCAAACAAATCAATCGGACTGCCTCAAGTGGCGGATGCTGTCCCAAGACGTCTTGCTCCCGGCGGGCGCAATAAGCAAGCTTCGCAACGTCGCACAACATGTGCTATAGTGAACAAGTGTTGCACGGGTGAGTTTCCTAGACTTCATGTGCATGTACATATGTCGTACGTCTCTCACGGCGGTTCATGGGCACGTGTCCAGATGTGCTGGCTAGTTGGGTGTTGCCATGAGGAAGATCATAGCCCTTCCAAGCGTAGAGGCCCAAAAGCTTTCATCACCATTATTGCTGTCGTTGCGATTCCGTTCTGAATTCTTGTGCTTGTCATTGGTAACCGTTGAGTATTGGGATGGTACCCTTATTTCCTGGATTGTCTGCCAGCCTATTCAAACTTTAAGAAAGAAAATGGGCACCTGGACCCAACCCTTCGAAACTCCCTGAAGCTCCAACTCCCCCCAAGCTCTCAACCATAAACCCTCAACCTTAAACCCTCAACCCTCAACCCTCAACCCTCAACCCTAAACCCTAAACCTACACATTGAAAACAACATCTAAACCCCCAGAAGCTAAGTTTCAGAAAGCCCTCAACCCCAAATTTCCCAAGACCCGAACCTTCGGGATACTTGGACTTTGTGCCCTTTGGGGGATTATGGTTTCCCTAAACCCTAAACCCTAAACCCTAAACCCTAAACCCTAAACCCTAAACCCTAAACCCTAAACCCTAAACCCTAAACCCTAAACCTAAAGTTCAGTATTGGAACCTCAGGCTGTGGCCTTCAACGCCCTGGTGGCAGCGCTGGCACGCGGTCACCGTGCAGCGTGGCCGCGTTTAGGGTTTGGGATTTAGGGTTTCGGGTTTAGGGTTTAGGGCTTAGGGTTTAGGATTTAGGGTTTAGGGTTTGGTTCTTCCCGATTGTCGCCAATGCCCTGATCTTTATTGGTTGGGGTTCGGGGCTGAGGATGTCCGAAAATAGGGTCGTGCACTTTATGGTGTTGATGCTCTGTTAGAGGCTATACCTATTCAGGGGTGCTTAGGTCTAGGATTGCCCACGATTCTTTTCGAGGCCTATAGTAAGGATATGAGTCATGTTTTGGGGGGGACGCATGCAGTCACTTTTGCCCAATTGATCAAGCTGCAGCCACTGCTGCTCAATTGGATTAAGCTGCAGAAAGTTGTACAGCCCTTCATGGAAAGCAGCTTCCATTTGTATTGCTATTATGGAATCAGGTACCAAAAAAACCATACTAAGTAGAGTTTTGGGGGTACCTAAATCCATAATAGTATTACGAATGGACCCCCTGGGTGTGATATGTCCTGCCACACTGTCATGAAACCCTAAACCCTCAACCCACAACCCTAAGCCCTGAAAGTGTGAAAGTGTCCATTGCAAACCCTAAGCCCTAAACCCTAAACCCTAAACCCCAAACCCAAATCCCTAAACCCCTAATAGGTTTCTAAGGGAGTCCTGCAGCATGGCACGGACAACCTCGAATTCAGGGTTTAGTGTTCAGGGTTTGGGGTTTGGGTGTTTTTGTTTTCTGCCTATAGAGCTTTCTCTCTTACATTTTTTGTTTGAGGGTATGTTAGTTTGAGTCTTTGGGTTTGGGGTGCTCGAAATCCAAATCCTAAACCCTAAACGCCCCCTGAACTCCCTAAACCCTAAATGCAACCCCGAAGCCCTCAAAGCCCGAAGCCCTAAACCACGAAATGCACCCCAGCGCACGGGGGAGATGTCCAGTCTAAGGTTCCAAGCCCCTAAACCCCTAAAGCCCTAAAACCCTAAAGCCCTAAAGCCCTAAAGCCCTAAAACCCTAAAACCCTAAAACCCTAAAACCCTAAAACCCTAAAACCCTTTCATGCACGATACGTCAGAAGGGCCCATGCTTGGGACCCCTAGAAACAAGGGATCCTGGGATGTTCGCCCTTTATACTAACAGTCCTTAATAGGATTCTAGTAGCCCCTCTTGTAATCCTATTAAGGATTGTCAGTATAAGGGGGAACATCCCCAAGAAGGATCCTACAAGGGTCAGGGACCACAGAAAGGGGCCCCATGGTTCAAAGCTGAGATCCAGGTGCAGCGTGCTGGTACCCTCCTTCAGGACCTGAGGCCATGCTTGCAGACCCTAAACCCTACGCCCTAAACCCTAAACCCTAAGTACACTTGAGGCTTATGGTTCAGGGCTTGTTGGTTTTCGAGCTTCGGGTGGGTTTGGGGTTTAAGCTTTCGGGTTTAGGCTTTGGGTTTAGGGGTTTAGGGCTTAGGGCTTGTCGGCGTTTGGGTTTCAATAACAAGCTACGAAGAGCTTGGCAGTAGGCGGTTGCAGTGACAGCCATGCTGATGCCTTGTTAAGAATTTGGGCCCACCCTTGACCAAAACAGGGGTACCCCCAAGGGCCCCAGCCCACCCGGCCCCTCGCCGCAGCGTGTTTAGGGACCAGGAAGCTGTCTGGCCGGGGCGGGTGTGGGACCCCCCCCCCCCCTGGGCGTTGCCAGGGATTTTTCCCGAAGCCTCTAACACCTTCCCCTTGGCAGAAACCTTCCCATCGGTGACGGAAGACGCTTTATTGGAAGTAAGCAATTGGTCTGAGTTTAGGCCTAAGCCCTGAAAGGAATAGGTTTGGGTGGTTTTGCCTGAGACGGCGTGGGGTGGGATGAAAGTGCTCGATGGCCCTCCACTATCGGGCCATGACTGCTCCTCGCATTTCGCGAAGCTGTCCAAGCGAGTCTGCATCCCAACCTTCACAAACTCAACCCTAAACCCTGAACCCTACACCCCAAACCCTAAACCCTAAGCCCGTACAGCAAACCTAATCCCAGAGGCGGGAGCAGCTGGACCTGGATCTGGAGGCCTACGGCGGAGCCATCACCGACACCCGGCCTCGAAGACGATGCCAGGGCTTAGGGGTGCTTTGGGTTTAGGGTTTAGGGCTTTAAACCTTAAATCAACCCCCAAACCCTAAACCCCAAACTCGAAACCCTAAACCACAAACCCTAAACCCTAAACCTCAACCCCCAACCCCAAACCCTAAACCCCAAACCCAAAACCCTAAACCCAAAAAAACCCCCTAAACCCCCTAAACCCCCTAAACCCCCTAAACCCCCTAAACCCCCTAAACCCCCTAAACCCCCTAAACCCCCTAAACCCCCTAAACCCCCTAAACCCCCTAAACCCCCTAAACCCCCCTGAACCCCCCAAACCCCCCTGAACCCCCCAAACCCCCTAAACCCCCTAAACCCCCTAAACCCCCTAAACCCCCTAAACCCCCTAAACCCCCTAAACCCCCTAAACCCCCTAAACCCCAAACCCTAAACCCTCAACCCCTAAACCTGGGTGCCCCAGGCCTGTGCGAACGGCGCCTTCTGGGCCGAAGCCCTCGGCTTCCTCGAGGTGCCTCCTGCTTCTGTCTAGGGTTTAGGGTTTAGGGTTTCGGGTTTAGGGTTTAGGGTTTAGGGTTTAGGGTCTAGGGTTTAGGGTTTAGAGTTTAGGGTTCAGGGGTTTAGGGTTTAGGGTTCAGGGTTCAGGGTTTAGGGTTTAGGGTTTAGGGTTCAGGGGGTTCTTTGCTTGTTTGTTTTTTTTTGAAGGGGGAGCGGTGTGTGGATTCTGTAGAGTTCTTGAGGTTGCTTGAGTGGTGATAGTTTCTGGTTTTTGAACGTGGGTTCGAGAGGTTATTGTTAGGGCAGGGTCTCCGTTTTAGGTGCTGTCGTTTGGGTCTAGGAGGTTTTGGGGATGTAAAGGTTCTTGAGGCTTCTTTTCAGTTTTCAATCCGTTTGCTTCAATGCTATTTGGGGGTTCAGGGCTTGCAGGCTTCTAGCATGCAACGTATACTGCTTGGAGGTTCGTGGTACTTATTAACCAATTGCAACTGTGCTTATAACTGCACTTATGACCATATCAGGGCACTCAAGGGGCTTGTAAGTGGGTTGTAAGTACAGGGAAAATTGGTTAATAAGTACCCTTAAACCCCAAACCCTAAACCCTCAACCCTAAACACTAAACACTCCAAGTATGGCTCAGGCCCAGCATGTGTTCTCTAGGGCTTGCAGGGCCTCTGCAGCTGGGGCTCGAGACTCCAGGCAGTGCGAACACAGAGAGATCATGATAAGTACAAATACTTCTCATGATTGATCATGATTGTGGGTTTAGGGTTTAGGGTTTAGGGTTTTAGGGGGTACTTTGTGAGTGTGTTAGCTGAGGCTTCTCAACAGTAGTACATTCGGCCTCGGACTCAACTTCGAGCAATGTCTTTGGCCATGCTCCAATGTGCTGGCGGCGCGAAGAAAGAGTGCCGGCTTACTCCCTCTCTTTGGGAGCTCCCCGGCTGTTTTTTTTTGTCAGCTGTCAGGGGGTCTTGAGTCTTGACTTCTTGTGGAGATGTTTAGGAAAGCTTTTGCGGTCTGCTGAGCATTGGGACCTTGCATTGGGTCGAAAAGACCCCTCCACCCTTCGGAGCCTCAAAATTGCCGGGCTTCTTATCAAGTCAAGCCCTTTAGGGTTCGATTGGGTTTGGGCTGAGTTTGCTCGAACCAATGTTTGCAAAGCCTAAAGTGATAGGGTCCTTAAGGGAGGGAGGTTCATGGACGGTAGAACCCTAGAGAAGCTTCGAGAATCTTAGGGAGCCTTTGGGAGTAGCGGGGAGTACTAGGGAAGGACCCGATTATAAAGATCACAAGACCTTCTGAACAAACTTCTTGACACGCTTCAGCCGCTTACTGCTACGGGCGGCGCCGGGACAGAACATTGAAGCCGCAAATCCTAAAGCCGGTCTTGAAGAGTTCTGCACCGACGAAGCCCTGAAGTCCTACAAGGGCCATTGAGGAAGAGTATTCTATGGGGCTTGTTCTTCTGGGTTAGGCCCATCTCAGAGCACTTGGGTTAAGGGTCAACCCTAAACCTGAACACCTAAACCCTAAACTCGAACCCCTAAGCCCTAAACCCTAAACCCTAAACCTAGCCCTAAACCCTAAGCCTTAAACCCTAAGCCCTATAAGCCCTAAAAGCCCTAAGCCCTAAACCCTAAACCCTAAACCCTATACCCTAAACCCTAAACCCTAAACCCTAAAAACCCTGCTGAGCCATCCTCACCCCCAGAAGCGTCCCAAACCAGCCATACTGTAATCCCTCAACCACTGGCACCCCAAACCCCCAAACCCAGGAATCCTAAACCCCCAAACCGCACACCCAAAGCCAAAATCCTAAATCCTAAACCTCCCAAACCCCACATAATCCCATAAACCCCATAAGCCCCATGAGCCCCATACACCCATAAGCCCCAAAACCCTAAACCCCAAACCCAGAAACCCCAGAAACCCGAAACCCTAAACCCCTCAACCCCGAACCCTAAACCCCAAACCCTAAACCCCAAAAGCCCCCATAAACCCCAGCTTGACACCAAGAAAAACCCAAACCCTAAACCCCAAACCCTCAACCCCAAACACCATAAGCTCCCACAACCCCCAAGCTTAACACCCTCTAAGGGTTGTCCCCCAATATGGCCCCTGGCCCTCTTAACCCCCAAACCCTAAACCCTAAACCCTAAACCCTAAACCCTAAACCCTAAACCCTAAACCCTAAACCCCAAACCCCAAACCCCCAAGCCCCCAAACCCCAAACCCCCAAACCCTAAACCCTAAACCCTAAACCCTAAAGGGCCCACACTAAGGGACCACGAAACTACTCAAAAGACACCCAGGTTTAAACCCTAAACCCTAATCCCCCTAATCCCTAAACCCTAAACCCTAAACCACAAACCCCCTGAACCCTAAACCCTAAACCCTAAACCCTACACCCTAAACCCTAAACCCTAAACCACAAACCCCCTGAACCCTAAACCCTAAACCCTAAACCCTAAACCCTAAACCCTAAACCCTAAACCCTAAACCCAGGTTTGGGTTCTCCGACCTCGAAGGCTGGGAGCTCACGGGCCAGGACTTAGGGCTTGAGGGGAGTTTAGGGTTTAGGGTTTAGGATTTAGGGTTTAGGGTTTAGGGTTTAGGGTTTAGGGTTCAGGGTTTAGGGTTTAGGGTTTAGGGTTTATGGAAATTGTATAGGATTTGTGTCCGGAGTTCTGGGCGAAAGTTTTGGGCGGGTTTGGGGCGGGTTTCGGTTTTTGCTTTGGCGCGAACCTCGGTTGGAACAAAGAGGTTGAAGTGAATTGAAAGTTTGGCCTCCCGCAGGCGCTGTTGATTAATTTACCGAAGCTCGGCTCGTCAGCTCTTTGGACAAACAACTGTGTAAGTTCATAGTGATACTACATACAATTTCTATTTCTCCTGGTCTTGAGGGTTTAGGGTTCAGGGTTTAGGGTTGAGCTGCTTGAGGTTTCAGGGATGGGCTTCAGGATCTTTAGGGGTTCAAGGCTTCTAGGGTTCAGTTCTTCAGGGCTTTTCGGGTATCTAGGTGATGGTGCAAGATGCATTGCGGAGTGCCGCGCAACGCACGGGTTTACCGGATGCTTGCCAGCGGAAGTTCCTAGCCACCTAAATTACCCTAAGCTTGTAAACGCCTAAGCTGCCCTAAACCCCCGGCACCCCTACACTACCTCAAGCCTTCAACCCCCCAGACCCTAAACCATAAATCCTAAACCCCAAACCCCAAATCCCTAAACCCTAAACCCTAAACCCTAAACCCTAAACCCTAAACCCTAAACCCTAAACCCTAGAGAAAACCCAAAGCCCCAGGACGCGGTGATGCGAGCGCACGCGGCGCGAGCACTGAACTGCCTGGAGGCCGAAGGCTTCAAGGCGCGCGGGGCTCTTTTTTTAAGTGCAGGGCGTTTAGGGTTTAGGGTTTAGGGTTTAGGGTTTAGGGTTTAGGGTTTAGGGTTTAGGGGTCGTTTAGGACTATTAGGGGTTTGATGGTGTTGGGGTGTTCATGGGCTCAGAGCCGAGAAAGTTTTGCATGTCAGGGTGTGCTTTTACTGGGTTAGGGGTTGGGCGGTATATTCGGGGTTGAGCTGAATTAAGACCCTAAACCCTAAACCCTAAACCCTAAACCCTAAACCCTAAACCCAAGAGTTCAAGGAGTTGGTTCCAGAGCTCAGGGTTGTCCCCGAAACGCTTCCTGCCTAAATTTGTTGTGGCCGTAACCGAACCTCCCTTCGCCTCCCTTTTCGTTGAAAAACCGAAACCCCAACCCTTAAACCCCCCGTGACCTGTACTATGGAATCCTGTTTACATCTACCAGTCTTGTATCACCACATCGAGTTCCTTCAATAAGTTTCGTAATAATGCCTCACTACCATTGACTAAGGTGAATCGTAGCAAAAAATCATCATTTGTGCTGAACTGGCCTTCACGAAAACCGGGGCTCAGCTCTTGCTTGCAGAGTGGCTGATGCGGGTCTCGGGTGTTGAGCGCAGGTCATCCAGATGTCCGAGTCCTGCGAGGATGGCGTCCAGCGCCCGGACGGCACTTGGTGGATTTAGGGTTTAGGGTTTAGGGTTTAGGGCTTAGGGTTTAGGGTTTGGGGTTTGGGGTTTAGGGTTTAGAGGGTCGGGGGGTGGGAGGGGAGGAGGAGCTCTTGAGAAGCTCAGCCCTGAACCCTGACCCCTACGCCCCCTCCCTAAGTCTGGACAAAGCCTCTATAACGCCTAGGCAGCGTCTTCCGGCACACCCTACAAGCCCTGTAAGCCATGTATCTAAGCCCTAGACCACAAGGTTTAGGATTTAGGGTTTTGCCCCCCCCCCCCCCCCTCCCTTCTAAGGGTTTACGGTTATACAAGCCCCCCATGCATCCCTCTACGCTTAAACCCCAAACCCTACACCCTGCACCCTAAGCCCTAAACCCCAAACCCCAAACCCCAGACCCTGAACCCTAAACCCTAAACCCTCATCCCTGAACCCTAAACCCTACCCTCCAATATATACAGTCAACGACGCAAAGCGAGAGGAGACACACCTTCCTCCTCCGCGGCCCCTGCCTGGCGGATCCTGAGAACTCTGCCTTCAAGGCGAAACTCCCCTTTAGGGTTTAGGGTTTAGGGTTTAGGGTTTAGGGTTTAGGGTTTAGGGTTTAGGGTTCGACTCGCCGGGGGCGGTTCACGGTGTCGGGTTTTGGGTTTAAGGGTTTAGGGTTGAGGGTTTTGGGGAGGGTTTAGGGCTTTGGGTTTCAGGGCTTAGCGTTTCGGGTTTTGGGGTTTAGGGTTTAGGGTTTTAGGGTCTAGGATGGTGTGCGTTTTAGGGTTTAGGGTTTCGTGCTTCTATGATGCATGAAGCAGGGTTTAGATTGTTGTTCTTGGTGAGTGTATTTAGGCTTTCTTGTATAAAATACTGGTGAGTCCTTTTGGGGATACAAGCAGGCTAAGCCCTACTTCATGTAGGTTTCTTTTGGGCTTCTAGGGTTGGGGGGGGTGGCAGATGTAAAGCTGGAGGGCTCCTAAGGGAATGTACCCCTAAGAGGCTTCCCTTCATGTACTCCTAATACGGTCCTTATCTTCCCTTAGAGGATCTTAGACAGGGCCCCCAAAGCCAAGGGTACAACCTTAGAGGTCCAAGGCAGAATCTCATGACTCTTTGGGGGGTTTGTAGGTAAGGTTTAGGAGGGCGCTTTCTAAACCCGAAACCCTACACCCTAAACCCTGAAACCCTGAAACCCTGAAACCCTGAAACTCTAAACCCTGAACCCTAAACCCCCTAAACCCCCAAACCCCAAGCCCTGAACCCTAAGCCCTACAGGCCGTGCTTGAGAAGCAGCTACAGCCTCCCAAGAGCCCCACAAGGCGCGGATCTGCCTGCTTTTTTGTAGGGGGGTTGTAAGGGGGTTTGAGGGTTTAGAGTGTAGCTTTGGGGCTTCCCCATGAAGATGGGCTTAGGGTGTTTGGGGGTTCAGGGTTTAGGGCTTAGGGCTTAGGGTTAGTCCCATACGGTATTTACTGGCCTCGTGGGGGGCTGCTGAGGCTATTCTTGGGCCCTTTTGTGTGTGTGTGTGTGTGTGATCTCTAAAGGGTTGCATTAAGCCACGTGCGCCTAAGTCTTCACTGGCTACTTGGACGGGGAATTCGGGGGGGGGGTGTATCGTGGTTCTTCGAAGGGAATGAGGGGAATTGGGTGCCCTTGGCCCTATTACACACCGGAAACCCTAAACCCGAAACCCTAAACCTTAAGCCCCAAACCTTAAACCCTAAACCCTAAACCTCAACCCCCAACCCGAAACCCTAAACTCTATACCCCAGACATCCCCCGGCCCTAAACTTTAAGCCTTAAACCCGAATCCCAGTCCTTAAAAGGGAACCCTGGGTCGGCCGCGTCAGTCTGAAGTCCTCGGGTCCTAAACGCCTCTGATCCTGAATGCAAAGACCTCATTCTCATTTAGGGGTTTAAGGGTTTACGGTTTTAGGGGTTTAAGGGTTTGAGGGGCTTAAGGGTTTAGGGGCTTTAGGGGTTCTAGGGGTTCTACGGGTTCTAGGGGTTCTAGTTATGGTTTAGGCGAGCGAAAGCTTCATGCAGAGATTCCAAAACAATGGCTCCTTCATGTGATACGTTTGCTTTTTCACTGTCATCTTGTGTGATATCTTCAGAACAATCTGGCCACGTATATACATATATATATATATATCTGTTCATTCGTAGATAATTTCTTACATCTATAACATGTACTCTGAGCATGGTGCAGTGCTATATGTATGTATGTATGTATATATATATATATATATGAGGGTGGTTCAAAACCCCCTGCTCTTGACGTAGTACAGAGGCGATTTATTCTCATAAGACCACTCTTGAAAAAGCCTTCCAAACATGGTGCGCGCGCAAGAACGCGCAAGGGCGGGCGCAAGTGCGCGCAGGGGGCATATTTAATGTATCTATACAAATACAAAGCCATCTTCAACAAATCTGAGGAGGCGGCCGCCTGTGGAGGACTCCGACTGAGTCTTTTCCCCGGCGCGGCTCCCTGGGCTTCGGTTTGGGGTTTAGGATTTAGGGTTTGGGTTTAGGGTTTAGGGTTTAGGGTTTGGGGTTGAAGGTTGAAGGTTTAGGGTTTAGGGTTTAGGGTTTAGGGTTTAGGGTTTAGGGTTTAGGAGGCTGTAGGGGCTCACGGCGCCCAGGGAGCCGCTGGGTCGCTCAGATGGCGCCACCAAAGGTGGCAGCCGAGGTGACGAGAGGCGTAGGAACCTTTAATGGGTTGATAGGACTATAGGGTTGGGATTTAGGGTTTAGGGTTTAGGGTTTGGGGTTTAGGGTTAGGTTTTAGGGTTTAGGGTTTGGGGTTTCGGGTTTAGGGTTTAGGGTTTAGGGTTTAGGGCTTGGGTTTTATGTGGTTTATGTGTGGTTTGTGTGGTCTATGTGGTTTATGTGGTTTAGGGGTCTAGGGCTTAGGGTTTAGGGTTTATGGGTTTAGGGGCTTGGAGGTTTAGAGGTTTATGCGTTTATTGTGTTTATTGGGTTTATTGGGTTTATTGGGTTCAGGGGTTTATGCCTCAGGGGCTTATGGGGTTTATGGGGTTTAGGATGCAGGGTTGGCCGGCCCGGTAAAGCGCCGGCCATCGTCCCATCGTTTAGAGCCTAGCAGCAGGAAGTCGAGAAAAAGTCACACGTGCAAGTTTTTCTACAAGACCCCCAAACCCTAAACCCTAAAGCCCCTAGAGCCCCCCAAAACCCCCTGAATCCTGAAGGTAGGGATCCTCGTATTGGGTATCTACAGCTTCCTTCCATCATCGGATTTCTTTGCAGGAAAGAACTCCTTGAAAGACCTGAACCCTGAGCCCTAAGCCCGAGCTGTCGAATTGAGTGCTCTTCATCTGCTTTGGCACTAAGCTCCACAAGTAGGTAGTTCTTCGCCTCCACGGATGAGGGTTAGCACCTAGGGCCTAAACGGTTTCAGACCCCACAGGGTTCCGAGACATGTCTGGCAACCAACTTCTTAGGGTTTAGGGCTTAAGGCTTAGGGCTTGGGGTTTAGGGTTTAGGGCTTAGGGTTTAGGGCTTAGGGCTTAGGGCTTAGGGTTGAGGGTTTAGGGCTTATGGCTTAAGCAACCGAATAGGAGTTTTTTTATTTTTTTAAAACGGCTGTCGAGTCGCACGCTACGCAGAAAATGGCGCTCAGGGACCCCCACCTTGCAACCTTGCCAGAGGAGGTGCTCCAGAGCGAGTTGCTCGAAGACAGCGCAGTCTTCAACCAGGCAGGCATGATTAGCCAATCTTTGTCCCCTTGTAATCTCTTCTAGGACACGGAGTGGTCACTTACTCCCTTTTTTTTTTTTTTTGGGGGGGGGGGGGGGGGTGTTAGGTTCCCTTGTAGACCCCTTCGAAACCAAAAAGGGTACCCTGTTTATTCCCAGGTCACTCTGGGGCCTAGCCTCTCTTCTTGTAGTAGCATGAGCTACCCAGCATGCACGACACCCGGTTGAGTGTAAATGGGCTCCTATGTCAGCCCAGTCCTCCTCAAGCCCCGGCTTGTTGTCTCCGTTGAATCCTGAAAGTTCTACTATTTGCTTAAGAACCCCCCCCCCCCTACAAAAAAAAAAGAAAGACCAGAGGAATTTTCTTCCTTGCAAGGGCAATCAAGGGAATACTATCTTCAACATTTGGGGGTTCTTAAGGAAATAGCAGTCGAACAGTGCCCTTATTCCACCCCAACAGCATGTCACAACTTTGCAGGTTTGGGAAGGGACAGCGTTGTGGTTGGTGCTTTATTGTCTATGAATACTCATTGTGTGGTTCCTGCACTGTCCACTGTCCGTTAGGGCCGCAAGGGTTTATTGTGACCCTAGCCCAAGGCCCTAAACCCCAAAACCCTCAACCCTGAACCCCAAATCCCAAACCCCAAACCCTCCTCACCCCAAACCCTCCTCACCCCAAACCTCCTAACCCCAAACCCTCCAAACCCAAAACCCCAAACCCTCAACCCCGAACCCCAAACCCCAAACCCGAAAGCCCAAGCCCTAAACCCCAAACCGCAAAACCCCAAACCCCAAAACCCTAAACCCCACACCCTAAACCCCAAACCCTAAACCCTAAACCCTAAACCACCTGAACAACCACTAAATCCTCCAGGCCCTGGCCTCATGCTGGCGAGGGAACTGGCAGTTGGCGCAGGCGCTCCTGGCAAGGACTGGACCCGTGGGTTTGAGGTTTAGGGTTTGGGGTTTAGGGTTTTTGGGTTTAAGGGATTGGGGTTTGGGGTTTAGGGTTTGGGGATTTTGGGTTTGGGGATTTAGGGCTTGGGGTACTAAGTACCCGGTACTTACGGGGTTTTGGAGTCTTGTGGTGCAGTGCTTCTCCCAAAAATGTCCTTAAGCTTTCTGGGTTCAGGGGTTTAGGTTTTTAGGGTTTTAGAGTTTTAGGGTCTGGGGTTTTACGCTTAAGTCGACCCCGGAAATAGAAGCTTGAACCTTCGACAATCCACAAGGGCTGCTCTGAATCATGAGCCTCTGCGTTTGGCGTTGGTCCTCATCGATGCTTTTCCTTTCAGCCTCCCTATGAGAGTTTTGGCCCAAGAAACCTCCCAATCAGACCCAGAAAGGGTCGCCTTTAACCCTCCCCCAAATAGCCTCCTAAACCCCCAACCCTCAACGCTCAACCCTCAACCCTGAGTCCTAAACCCTAAACCCTCCACTCCATCCTCACCACCTTTGGGGACCCCCCCCCCCCCCCCTTGTTACGGAGGATGGACAGCCATGCGGTTCCCCGCAGCGTCGTCTCCTTTGAGAAGGCCCGCTGGTTTAGGGGGTCAGCACCCCTTTGTTTCGGACCTTCTGGCCCTCTTGGCCTTTAAGACGACGACGACTAAAACCCGTAAACCCTAAACGCTAAACTGCCCAAAATTGCTCTTCGGCCTCACGAGAGCTAGTTGCTCAGGGCCTTAGCGCGTGAAGGCTCAACCCCATGTGTGTGGTGTCACCCCTGCACAGAGGCCATGCCAGCCCGTAGCCGGTAGTACGGTGGTGAGTATTGCCAAACCGCTTTAGGCTGCTGGGGCTGAGGGTTCTCCCTGAACCCTGAAACTTAATTAAGCCCAACTGACGCCCCCACCCACTCCTCCGCCCTGCGCTGTAGCCGGTGTCAACGCCCCGCCCCCGTGTTAGATTGAACAGTAAGCCTCCGTGCCATTACTGCCCGTCGCCCTCCGCGCTATGACCGCGCGCTCTCAGGCTCTTGGGGTCTAGGCTCTCCAGGTTTCAGGTTAAGGGGCTTGGGAGCTAGGTGCTCTCACCGGTTGAGGGGTGTTTCTGGCATCGTCACCCTAAACCCTAAAGCCCTCAAAGCCCTTAAAAGGTCATATGCGGCCCGAAGCCCTGAAGGTTTAGTCATGTCTATTGTGCTGCTACGGGCATCACGGCAAGTTAGAGCATCTTCTTTATTGGCTTGTTCTCCCTCTGTCTCGTTAAGCTCCAAACCCTGAACCCTAAACCCGAAACCCTAAACTTTAAGCCCTAAACCCTAAACCCTAAACCTAAACCCCAGCCGAGGACTCTGCCCCCCCCCCCCCCCCCCCCCCCCCCCACCCACCTCCGGAAGGCCTCGGCAGCTTGCAACCGCGCCGGCCGCTGGCAGGAGGCTGCTTCCTTGAGTTTGATGGTGGTTTGGTGCTTGGGAGGGGCAGGGGGGGGGGGGTTTAGGGGTTTAGGGTTTAGGTTTTAGTAGGGTTTAAGGTTTAGGGTTTTGAGGGTCTTAAGGGTTTGAGGTTTGAGGTACACATTCTGACCCTCTCTTGGGGTCTTTAGGTCTTAAGAGTCTGGGCTTTAATCTACCTGCATATGTCTCTCTTGAACAGAATACGAAGTAAAAAAGACAGTTACTCTGAGCGCATAATCCAATGTAGATGAGGCTCAACCCTAGAGCCCTAAGCCCTAAACCCTAAACCCTAAACCCTAAACCCTAAACCCGGAGCTGCCCTAAACCCTGTCAGTGTCTTCACGACGATGTCCCTTCTTTCGCAAGCGCCCGCCTGCATTGGCCCCCCTGCCCCAGGCCCTGCATCTCTTCGATGAGGCAGGTAGGGTTTAGGGTTTAGGGTTTAGGGTGTAGGGTTTAGGGTTTAGGGTTTAGGGCTTAGGGTTTAGGGTGTAGGGTTTAGGGTTTAGGGCTTAGGGCTGAGGGCTGAGGGCTGAGGGCTTAGGGTTTAGGGTTTAGGGTCTGGGTTTGGGTTTGGGGTGTAGGTTAGGGTTTGGGGTTGGGGGGTTTGGGTTAGGGTTTAGGATTTGGGTTTGGGGATTTAGGGCTTAGGGTTTGGGGACTGGGGCTTGGGGTTAGGGTTTATAGGTTTGGGGTTTGGGGTTTCGGGTTTCGGGGGAGTGCAGTGGGCCTGGGGGATTAGAGTTTCTTATAGGTATTGGTGCGATGCAGGTCGTGAAAACCCTGCCCTCCGAAATGCCCCAAACCCCAGAATCCCTGGATATAAGAGTTGGGATCCTCCTCCTTTGTCTTTTCATGACAGGCTTTGCAAGGTTTAGCGCCTAAACCCGAAGCGATTATCATGATCGGTATTGAAACCCCAAACCCAGAAGCCTAAAACCAAAACCCAAAACCCAAAACCGTAAACCCTAAACCCTAAACCCTAAACCCTAAACCCTAAACCCTAAAACCCAAAAACCCGAAAACCCAAAAACTCTAAACCTTTTTGGTTGTCCTTAACCCCTCCAAGCCTCGCGGAGAGAGGCCTGGGAGGCCCTGTGCCCGCCGAATGCCCCGATGCCCCTCGGCCGAGGCGTTCAGGGAGTTTCGGGAATTCAGGGAGTTTAGGGAGTATTTAGGGAGTCTAACTAGGGAGTTCAGGGAGTTCAATTAGGGAGTTGATCGAGTTTAGAGGTTTCAGGGCCTTTGGGGAGTTTAGGGAGTTTAGGCGACAGCAATCTGCATAGGAGCTTCGGGAAGGCCTCAAGCTTGCTAGCTGTCACATTTGCGTTGCTGGGAGTTTAGGAATTAGGGACTATACTGTGACCCTAAACCCTAAATCCTAAGCCCTAAACCCTAAACCCTAAACCCTAAACCCTAAACCCTAACCCCTGTAGTTTTCCCAGTTTGTGAACGCTGGACTTGCTTGTTTCTTCGCGTGTCCCTCCCAAAGGTTCCGCGACGTGTGTCAAAGCTGCGCGGACGGCACTGCGTGGGAGGCTCCGATTTCAAACGATATACAACGGTTATAGCTGACTATAATATGTATATACTATGGATATATATATATATATATGTATTTGCATTTGTATTTGTATTTGCATTTGCATGTTAATTGTAAACGCTTGCGCGCGCCGCCTCGGCAGCCGGGCCGGCGGAGGAAAGAGGGTTTCGCAAAAAAAGGGAGGAAGGGCAGAGCGGGTGGGGGGCGGGTGGGGGGGGGGTGGGGTCGGGTGGGGGGGGCTGGGGGGGTAGGTGGGATGTGGTGGGGGGGGGGTGTGGGGGGGGGGGTGGGGGGGTTGGGGGGGGGGGGTGGGGGGGGTGGGGGGGGGGGGGGGGGGGGGGCGGGTTGGGGGGGGCGGGGGGGGGTGGGGGGGGGGGGGGGGGTTGTTGGTGGGGGGGGGGCGTTGGGGGGGTGGGGGGGGGGGGGTGCGTCAAAAAATTTGGGATGGGGGGAAGGGTTGGGTTAGGGGGAAGGAGGCCCGATGTCTGCTTGTTCCAGACGCTTCTCGGCAGGAAGCCGAGGCGAATTTGTATTTGCACTTGTATTCGTCTTTGTATTCGTATTTATAGATATACCAAAAGCATAGCAATTGCCGAAGCATACAACCCCCCCCCGGCCGCCCCGTATTCCCCCCAACCCCCAGAACGAACCAAAAAAATTACAGGCAAACGAAACCCTAAACCCTACACCCTAAACCCTAACCCAACCCTAACAACCCTAAACCCTAAAAACCCTAAACCCTACACCCTACACCCTAAACCCTAAGTCCCCAACCCGAGCGCGAGGCCGGCCCTTCCATTGCTTGCATCTGCTGCCGCGACGATGCCCCGATTGAGAGCCGGCTTCTAGGGCTAGGGTGACGCGTTAGGGTTAGGGTTCTAGGGTTTAGGGTTAGGGTTTAGGTTTAGGGTTTAGGTTTTTAGGGTTAGGGTTTAGTTAGGGTTTAGGTTTTTAGGTTCTAGGTTAATAATGGTTTAGGTTTTAGTGTTTAGGTTTTAGGGTTTAGGGTTTAGGGTTTAGGGTTTAGGGTTTAGGGTTTAGGGTTTAGGGTTTAGGGTTTAGGGTTTAGGGTTTAGGGTTTAGGGTTTAGGGTTTAGGGTTTAGGGTTTAGTTTTAGGGTTTAGGGTTTAGGGTTTAGGGTTTAGGGTTTAGGGTTTAGGGTTTAGGGTTTAGGGTTTAGGGTTTAGGGTTTAGGGTTTAGGGTTTAGGGTTTAGGGTTTAGCTGTGAGGTAGCTCCCAACATAGCCCCGGCATGTGCAGCAAGGTTTCTTTCAGAAGTGTCTCGCCTTTCGCTCGCGGGCTTCGGATGTTTCCGGACCCACGCCGCGAATCCTGAATAAGACTCTTCGTCCCTCAGCCACTCAAGAAAAGCCTCGCAACCCAAAAGCTCCTAAACACCCCCTCAAAAAAATCAGCCTAAAGCCCTAGAACCGCCCCCAAACAAGGGTTTGGGGTTTGAGGTTTAGGGTTCGCGCTTTAGGGTAATTAGGTTATAGGGGAACCCCCAAACCCTGACGTCCCACTCTTTCAAGATCTTCATTGGCAGCCGTGTGTGCCAGGACGTGGCCCGCGCAGCGGCGCTGGGGGCATGTACGCTGCTCAGAGATGATGAACGCGTGGCTTAGGATTTAGGGTTTAGGGTTTAGGGTGTGCTCTTTGTGCGTCGTTTATCTTTTCTAGGGGGCGCTGCGGGGCATCTAACGAACTTTGTGCATCACGCCACGTGTGGCGTAGCGCCGAAGCTTCTGCTCCCGAGCCGTCGGAGCCTAAAGTCTGAAGCCTTAATCAGCTAGGACCTGGAATAGGCACTTTTTTCGTTTTTTAGGGTTGGGGTCCCTTATATTCCGGTAAATACCAAAAAGGGCACCCGTTTTGTTCCTGGGTTAGTTAGTCCTGGGTCTAGATAGCCATGAAGCCTGAAACGCTAGAAGTCTAAACTCCAATCAACCTTGTAGAACTCACCCCCAAACCTAAACCCCAAACCCTGAACCCTCAACCCTAAACGCCAAAGCCCAGACCCTAAATCCCACTCCCCGCCCACCCACCTCCCCCCACCCCCGCTCCGCCCACCCCGCCCCTCCCCCCCCCCCCCTCCCTCTCGCCCCTCCCCCTCTACCGTCGACCCCTCCCGCCCTCCCCCCTTCCCCCCCTCCCGCCGACTTTCAGTCCCCCCCTTCCCGCGCCGGCCTCCCCCCCCTGCGCCCCCCCCTCCGCCCCGTACCTCCCCCCCCATCACCCCCCCCCCTTCCCCCCACCCTCATCCCCCTCTCCCCCACCCCCCCCTCCCGCCCCACCTCTCTCCCCCCCTCACCCCCTCCCCCCCCCGCCTCACACCCCCCTCCCCCCCCCCCCGCTCCCCCCTCCCCCCCCCTGCCCCCCTCCCGCCACTTGAAATCTGATGCCTTGCACATGGTTTTCACGGGTGGTGAAATGCCTTTGAGCAAATGTTGGGATCTGAGATCATTCCGACAAGCGCTCCGAGGACAGGCTTGTCACATGGCTCCAAGATTTCCTGAAGTGCCATGTAGGCATCGTCCACGGTCACTTGATGGTAGTCGATGCCCTCAATGCTGAAAAAGCCCGGCATGAGCTTCAGCAGAGCCTGTTGACTTTGGCGTTGCCCTTGTTTGTGAGCTTGGCCAAGGCCCGGTACACTGCGGTGCCGCCGCTCATGCCCAGCAGGCGGTCTATCAAGTCACTGTCCCCAACCTTGCCCAGCTCAACCAGACCATCCACAGGCATGTGCTGCCGCTCCTCCCCCTCCCCCCCCCCTCCCGGAGGTAAGGGCCTTCTGCCCCCGTCTGTTTTCTGGGTCTACTCGACAAGGGGATCTACTTGGCCGAAGAAGCCACAAAGATCGATGGAACAATAGACTTGACAAAGGGTTTGAAGGGACAGCCCAGACATATTCGGCAAGGGGATCTACTGGGCCGAAGACACCGCGAAGATCGATCAATATCTGACCCAGGACCCTGAATGGAGAGGCAACAACAAACCGACCTCCACAAGAAGCTCTATGAACGGGGAGGGAAAGTGCGCCGCTCACGTCTACTGTGCCTCGGGCTGCCGCATTGCTCTGGGTCTGGGAGATCCAATTTCCCCCTGCCCCTGGCGTCCCCTCCCCCTTGGCCCTCCGGCCGTCCTGGCCTGGCCCCGGAGCGGTCCCGGAGGGAAGGGCCTTCTGCCCCTGTCTGTTTTCTGGGTCTGGTTTTGACAACCCTGACCCGTTCAAAGGATGAGGGTGGAGTGTCCTACCCAACCGTTCAAAGGATGGGGGTGGGAAGTGGGAATTTAGGGCGTTAGCCCGAAACCCTAAAAGGAGAAAAGTTGGGTGGATGCCTGCGTAAGCAGGGGGTGGGAAAAATAAAACAACCCAACCTTTCTGGTTGTGGTGGCTCCAACTTCAATATACGCCGCCGCGACATATGCCGCCCCCTCACACCCCCTGGGTGTGTTGGGGCGCCATCTCCGCATGACATCTACTGCCGCGGCGCGGCGAGAAGCCCTAAACCCTAAACCCTAAACCCTGAACCCTGAACCCTGAACCCTGAACCCTGAACCCTGAACCCTGAACCCTGAACCCTAAACCCTAAACCCTAAGCCCTAAGCCCTAAACCCTAAACCCTAGCCCTAAACCCTATACCCTAAACCTTAACCCTAAACCCTAAACGCCCCCCGCCCGGTGCAGGTGGCGGCGCGGCCCAGTGGGAGCGCGTCCTCGCGCTGCTGGAGGAGCTTTGGGAAGGCCGGGATTGGGGTTTAGGGTATAGGGTTTAGGGTTTTGGGTTTAGGGTTGAGGGTTTAGGGCTTAGGGTTGAGGGTTTAGGCATTAGGGTTCAGGGTTAATTAGGGTTTAGGGTTTCGGGTTTTGCTGAGGGTGCTAGGGTTGTAGGGTTTAGGGTTCAGGGCTTCGGGACGACATGGGACAGCATTTCGCCTGGGTTTAGGGTTTCGGGTTGCTGAGGGATTTCCCAGTTTCTCGGGCTTCAGACGTTGCAAAGCTGAAGCTGCGGCTAGGCTTTCCGAGGTTTTCCACGCCTGAGTTAGGACGTACACTCTTTCATGTAGGAATTGCTTCCTCTTCATGCTACCTTCTTGAGGGGCCCTCTCACCTTCAGAGCCTAGTGTTGAGTAAACTGAGTAAACCTGCACGCCAAGTCCAAGCAGAGCCTGGAGAAGAGTCCTATGGCGGCTTGGCTGCATGAGTTCTCTCGGCTGTTGCGGAGACGTCTGCACCTGAAATTCGCCACTCCCAAGGAAAGGTTGAAGGGAAAAGGTTGTTGCGCAAATGCGTGAGCTTCTAGTCTCAGCCCAATGATTTCTCCACCGGCATCGTCTTTGGAACGAAACCTTGGCCCCTGAACCTAAACTAAACCCCATAGACACTCGATTTTTGACCCCCAACCCTCAACCCTAAACCCTAAAACCCTCAACCCGAAACCCTAAACCCCCCACCACCCCAACCCACCCCGAGTTTTCGGCTAAAGGCGAGGCGATCCGTGGTCTCAGCCGCTGCAGTCAGCCTTTGCCTCAGAGGGCGCTCGATGTCCCAACGCTGATGGGGTTTAGGGTTTAGACGGGTTTAGGGTTTAGTGTCAATTATTTCCTATAACCTGCGATTTCATGCAGAACCCTCAAAATTTGGAAGACGATGAGCCCTATATGGCTCTTATAAGGAAGAATGTTTCTATTCTTTTGGGGGGTTGTTAAGCAAATAGTAGTATTGGGGGACTTGTGATTTTTCAGGAGGGCAGGGGGGGTTACGATTTGAGAAGGGGAGGGGATTCAAGAAGATGCTCTCTCCGAGGCTGTCATCATTGAGCTGCGGCGGGTGCTGTGAGACTTTTGAGCAGTTCGGGTTTGCGCAAAGTGGATAAACATGTGTGTCCTAAACCCTAACCCCAAACCCTGTCGGCTTTTGCTTTGGACTGGTCCGTTTTTGACAACCTTTGGGGTCTTTTTGTGGGCCTTTGTCCAGTCTGGTTTCGGTCCTCAACCCCAAACCCCAAAACCCCCAAACCCTAAACGCTGAAACCCCCAAACGCTAAACCCAAACCCCCACACCCTAAACCCGAAACCCTTAAACCCCTTAAATAACTTTTTTTAAATTCTCCTGAGAACCCTCAACCCTAAACCCTAAACCCTAAACCCTAAACCCCAAACCCTAAACCCTAAACCCTAAGCCTTATCAAGCAGTCAGAGGAACCCCCTAAGGTGGCCCCGGGCTTTGCCCGTACTCGCGGAGCTCCGGGCGCTCCGGCGCACGCCGGGCGCGGCGGCGCGGGGGACCTTCACAGGGTTTAGGGTTTAGGGTTTGGGGTTTAGGGTTTAGGGTTTAGGGTTTGGGGTTTAGGGTTTGGGGTTTGGGGTTTGGGCCCCTGAAGGGATATGTTTGTTGAACATTTCCCTTATTGGGCTTAAGAGGATGTATATATTTAGGGGGAGGCTTGGGGAGCTTGGGGTTGGGCATTGGGCTGCCATGTACCTGCCCGACGTGTCGACTGTAAGGTCCGGCCAGCACGAAGATAGCGCAGCTAAGCTCGCATATAGGGTTTAGGGTTTAGGGTTTAGGGTTTAGGGTTTAGGGTTTAGGCTTCCACAGCCTAAGCTCTCAAAACCCCTTAAAGCCCTAAAGCACAAGGTCCCTGAAACCTTGAGAAGCCGAAACCCTCAACTCTAAGACCTCAAGCTCCAAAACCCCATATACGTCCTTCACCTCAACCCCAAGTCTGGCTCAAGCTCGACCCTAAACCAACCCAAAAATTCGAGTGGACGAGGTTCGGGGAGCTGGTGTGCAGCGCTGCAGATGCCGCTGCTTGGAGGCGCGCTCCGCCTCTCTTCTCCTTCGCTCTCTCTCTCTCTTCCCTCTCTCTCTCTCTCTCTCTCTCTCTTGAGGCCCCGGGTTTGGGATTTAGGGATTGCGGCGACTGTAGGGGCCGGAAAAATCAAAAGAGGTTATTTGGGGGTCATTCTGGCCTTATTGTCTAGGGACCATAAGGGAAGACTACTATTCCGACCCCCAAAAACCTCAACCCTAAACCCCAAACCCTAAACCCTAACCCCTAAACCCCTAAACCCCTAAACCCCTAAATCCCTAAACCCCTAAACCCCTAAACCCCTAAACCCCTAAACCCCTAAATCCCTAAACCCCGAAACCCCTAAACCCCTAAACCCCTAAACCCCTAAACCCCTGAACCCCTCAACCCCTAAACCCCTAAACCCTAGCGTAGACAGCACTGCTTTTGCCAGGGAGGCGCTGCATTTGCAGCAGGAGCATCTCGATCCGGCGCCGGGCCGAGTGTGGGTGTCGAGGCCGAACCCCTAAGAGTTCTAAGGTCTTGGTTTGGGGTTGATAGGGTTTGAGGTTTAGGGTTTAGGGTTCAGGGTTCAGGGTTTAGGGTTTAGGGTTTAACGGTAAAGGGTGCAACATCGCCAAATTGCGTGCAGCAGCCACAAACAGTTGGCATGTTCGTGATTCAGTTTGTTGAACAAGAAAGACGGGGAGGATGTACAGTAAGTAGGGCAAGGCTTTTCGCAGGTTGGGAGAGGACGTCCCAATGAAATTACAGTGCAACTGTTCAACATAATTACGAATGCTAGTCTTGGAAACGGTAGAGCAAAGTAGGCTTTGCAGGCGTGACGGCAAAATCTGCCCCACCCCCCCACCCCCCCACCCCCCCCCCCCCACCCCCCACCCCCCCCCCCCCCCCCCCCGCGCCTTCGCGAACATCATTGACGGGTCATAAGGGTTCAGGGTTTAGGGCTCAGAGTTTATGGGTTGAAGTTCAAAGGGTAGCTAATTGGTAGGGTTTCCGGTTAGGGTTACCCGTAGTAGTAAGGACCTGGTGGGGACATTAAATCTTAACGGGTATCCGAGGGACCAGACCCAACCCCAAACCCCAAACCCTAAACCCTAAACCCTAAGCCCTAGCCCTAAACCCTAAACCCTAGACCCTGCGACCGAACAGGCCCCTAGCTTGGACCGAACACCCCAACTCAGAAGCAGAAGACCTCTGCAGAAATTCAAGCTGCCACTTCACGCTAAGCTGAATGCGCTGGCTCCAAACCCTACACCCTAAACCCTAAACCCCACACCCTAAACCCCAAACCCTAAACCCTAAACCCTAAACCCTAAACCCCCAAACCCCGAAAACCCCCAAAACCCCCAAACCCCCAAACCCCCAAAACCCTAAACCCTGCTCAGGTCAGCCCAGGCCCACCCCCTGGACTCCTGGACAAAGACGCTCTCAGCACGCTGCTGGCGTTGTGGGAGGCGAACTTTGTTTAGGGTTTAGGGTTTAGGGTTTAAGGTTTCAGGTTTAGGGTCTAGGGGTAACATTTTTGCATTTGTAAGGTTGCTTGGACACAATAAGGTCTAGACATGCTAATTCTTAGTATTATCCCAACCATTTGCTCTAGTGCAAGTAGTGGGCTAGGTGGCGTCTTCCTTCGAGTTCGGGGCTCCAAAGCGCCCTTCGATAAGGGATTCTAGTCTGAAAGGTTCCCTACACAGGAATGCCACTAGTATGACAGGTTCTCTACAAAGGGAATCCCACTTTCCCACTTAAAACCCAAACCCTAAACCCTAAACCCTAAAATCCCCAAACCCTAAACCCTAAACGCCCTAAACTCCCCCATACACCAATGCGAGATCGGACGAGGTTCCCACCATTTGCTTCCAGGTCTTTCGCCACTTCCCCTCCCCTTAGCCACCTGCCAGCTTGGTCATATAGGGGGTTTGGGGTTTGGGGTTTGGGGGGTTTTAGAGTTCAGGGTTTAGGGTTTAGGGTTTAGGGTTTTGGGTTTTGGGTTTTGGGTCGGAATAATTCCGAATATCATTCTCTTAGGGTGCCCGATATTAATATACTATAATACCCCCCCCCCCCCCCAAAACCCTGTTCTAATTATTAAGATTCCCTGAAGGTCCCTATATAACCATACTAGAATAACCCCCCCCCCCCCCTCCAAAACCCTGCTCTAATACATGAAGGCCCCCTATACTCCTAAACCCTAAACCCTAATCCCTAAACCCTAAACCCTAAACTCACCAAAACCATGTTTCTAATAGAGTATCAGGCCCCCTATACTCCTAAACCCTAAGCCCTAAGCCCTAAACCCTAAACCCTAAACCCTGAACCCTAAACCCTAAACCCTAAACCCTAAACCCCCCAAAACCCTGTTCTCATCAATTAGCGCGCCCCTATATAACACAGGCCAAAGGGCTCGTGCACCCGCAGCCGGAAGCTGAGGATTTGAGACTCCCGGGATCGGGGTGACTGGGGGGCAACCTTCCGCTGCAATTTAGGGTTTAGGGTTTAGGGTTTAGGGTTTAGGGTTTAGGGTTTAGGGTTTAGAGTGATTCTTCCTTTGGGGTTTGGGGTTTGGGGTTTGGGGTTTAGGGTATATCCGAAAGGGAAGCCGCACAGGATGCCAGAACTGGACACGCGTGCGTAGCGCGGGCAGGATGATGGTACCGTCTGGTCAGGGTATTCCTATATCGTATGTTGAGAAAGAGATGTTTGCAATGTCATTGTGCTATATTGTGCTCATTCTGGCTCGGGATTTGCACTGATGTACTACTTAATTACAGATGTGGGGGGGCTCTAGATTATGGCGATAAGCGATCAGGAATCATACCAGAATAGAGAGACATTGAAAAGAGAGTTATATAATTTCAGATCTACCCCGTCATGCTTGAATCTTTTTTCCCAGCATATCATACCTTCTTCTGGCTTCTTCTTGACAAACCGCAAGTCTGCCTGTGGATTCCAAGCATTCGAAAGTGTGAGAAACACCCCCCGGGGGGGGGCCGGGGGGGCGGGGGGTGACTCAGGGATAGTCAGGGTATAGACTCTAGCAGCAGGGTACTCGTACTCAACAGGGTCATCCGTTCAAGTCCAGGAGGAGTTGAGGGGTTCAAGCAGTCCCAGACCTCGGAGTTTCCCTCACATGGCCGGCCTTCAATTGGAATTGGGTCCGTCGAAGCCCTCAACCCCCACGGGCGCACCCCAGAACACCAACAGAACTGCACACAGGTATCCTCAAAGGGTTTAGGGTTTAGGTTTTAGGGTTTAGGGTTTAGGGTTTAGGGATTCACTTGCTCCGCCTCCGTAGGAATACTTACTTGTAGTAGGGAACCGAGCGAGCCCAAGCCAGGGTCCTGCCGGTGGTGCAGAACCCCAAAACCCCTTAACTAAACATCCCTAAGCCCTATAGTTTAGGTTTAGGGTTTAGGGTTTAGGGTTTAGGGTTTAGGGTTTAGGGTTTAGGGTTTAGGGTTTCGGGTTTCGGGTTTAGGGTTTAGGGTTTAGGGTTTGGGGTTTAGGATTTAGGGTTGAGGGTTTAGGGTTTCGGGTTAAGGGTATAGGGTTTAGGGCTAACCTCTCAGGCGTCGGCTCCTGTGCCGTCTGGGTGATGCGGTGGGGCCCGGCTGAATTGGGACTCGGGACAAGCAGGGCCTCCTTGTGTGTTCCGATATTAGGGACTCAGGGGATCTTGCGATTTGCGGGTCTACATCAAGGGATCCCACCTGAACCCTAAACCCTAAACCCTAAACCCTAAACCCCTTCTCGTAAACCCTCATGTTGATTGGGCCGCATGCTCGGGGTAAAACTGTTTGAGCAGCTGGTAAGGCTGGCGTCCAAGGCGCGCATTTCACGTCAGCACACTTCTTCAGTGGCCCTCCACACTTGTGGAGGGGTCCAAGGTCTAGGGAAACCCTAAACCCTAAACCGTCCTTAAACCGAAACTTTTTGGGGTTGAAGTTGAAAGTCTGGGGCCCCGCCTTCGAATACCAGCACGATTTTTTGGAATGCCCCCCCCCCCCCCCCCCCCTTGTTGCCGCCGACAGAAGCTAAAACGTCCCCCGTATAAGAATTAGAATGTTTTGTTTAGGGTTTAGGGTTTAGGGTTTAGGGTTTAGGGTTTAGGGTTTAGGGTTTAGGGTTTAGGGTTTAGGCATTAGGGTTTAGGGATTAGAGTTTAGGGTGTGGGGTGTAGGGTGTAGGGTGTAGGGTGAGTTTCAAAGACCATGATCCTCTGGTGAAAGACGGGTTCTAAGGTAAACCTTCATCCTTGGGATGCTCCCCCTTACAGGAACGGCCTTAACAGGGATTCGAGTACCCCCTACTATAATCAATTTTAAGGACTGTTCGTATATAGTACCCCATGTTATCGCCCCTTGTAAGGACTGATAGTAGAAGGAGGGAACATCCCCAAACCCCAAACCCCAAACCCCAAACCCTAAACCCTCATCCTTAAAAAGTACGGAAAGCCAGGTCCGAGCCCGCCGCGATGCCGTGCAGCGGCGGCTGAACCGGCCGATGGCGGAGGCTTTAGGGGTTTTGGGCCAAGACCCTCAACCCGAAACCCTAAACCCTAAACTGACCCCAACCCTAAACCCTGAACCATAAGCCTTTTCTTTTTAGAATGAGGGGGGGCAGTGCTCCTGTAAGGTGTGCTCGTATTTCTGGGGCCTGAACTTCACGCGGATCGGAAGGGCGTTGGCACCCCTGTGACATCCCGCACCACGCCTTCAGGGGTTTAGAGTTTAGGTGTTTAGGGTTGCTGATTTTTATGGGTTTAGGGTTTAGGGTTTAGGATTCATGGTTTTTATGGGTTTAGGGTTTAGGGTTTATGGCCTTTATGTGTTTAGGGGTTAGAAAAAGAGAGAACCCGGTAGGAGCGCGAAGCTTTCGCCTCAAGCAAGCACTTCGGTCAGGTGCAGGTGGCCAATGCAGTTGGCACTGTGCTGGCCTGGAGGACGGAGAGACAGGCAGACACCGATGGAGATCCTGGTTTCTAGCAGAAGTGGGTTAAAAAAAAACCCTAAACCCCAAACCCTTAACCCTTAACCCTTAACCCTTAACCCTTAACCCTAAACCCTAAACCCTCTTCTGCCTGTAAGCGCCTTCTTGCGGGAGTGTACTCGGAGGTTTTGTTGATTCGGCGGGCCCATAGCTGCCTCAAGGCATTCTCTTGGGAGTCGCCTATCTTGCTTACTACTCTTTCCTCCTGTTTTAGGGTTTAGGGTTCCCCCCCCCCGCCCCCACGAAGAGAAAAGCAAACTTTGATCATCCCCATCATAAAAACATCCCATGCGTGAGCCGCGCTGCCCCTCTCGGGCAGGTACTCAAGGATCGGATTCTTTGCCTAGAATTTCTTGGCGGCTGTTCACCCGGAAGAGGGGTGTGGCAAGTACAAGTCTATGTAAGAAGATGCATGTCAAAGTACAGGCTTTTATGTTTCTGTCAATCCCTGTTGAGTACGTGGGTTTTTCTGTATCAACAGCAAGAGAATTGGCTTGTCCAAAGCCGGAGCTCAAGCGCGCGCATTGTGGAAATTCTCTGAAAATATGCCTGCAGGGATACTGAGGCAGATTCTCTGGTGGGCAAAAAACCCTAAACCCTAAACCCTAAACCCTAAACCCTAAACCCTAAACCCTAAACCCTAAACCCTAAACCCTAAACCGGTTGAAGGCACACACCTTGATGCTGCAGCCTCCAGGCTGCCGGGCTCCCGCCCCAAGCGGCCACGTTTGCGCGGCGCCTGCGCGACGCCATGTGCCAGGCTCAGAGCATGGTCCTACTTGGGGGTTCATGGTACTTATTAGCCAGCTGTGACTGTACTTATAACCCACTTATAAGCCCCTTATGTGCCCTTATGTGGTTATAAGTACAGTGAAAAAGCTACAGTTATCATTGGTTTATAAGGACCATGAACCTCCAAGCAAACGAGGCACGACGGGTATCGTAGACCTAGAGGGACAATCGGAGCCCCCCTTAACACACGATCATCCTGCACAGAGTCTGCGAATCGCAGTCGTTGGGTGGCAAGGGTGCCGCGCCGTCAGACGCCGTCCTGGGTTTGGGGCATTAGGGGTGTACGCAAAGACATCGCCGCCTGTTCGACCCTCGTAAACCCTGAACCCCTAAACCCCCTAAACCCCTTAAACCCCCTAAACCCGCCCGAGGCAGAACCAATTTGCCAACGGAGATGCCAAAGGAGCTCTCCCATATCAGAAGGACGGGACTCTGACGGGCTTTTGGAGCTCGTTTTTAAGGTTTGGGAAAGTCTTGGTATCACAGGAGGGGAAGCGAATCGAGCTATGAAACTCGGTGGTGTAGTGCCAGAGCATCTGGTGCCATCCAGATGTGCGAGAGGGCGCTTTCGCCAGAACCAGGTAGGGTAGGGTAAGAGAGAGAGAGAGAGAGAGAGAGAGAGAGAGAGAGGGAGAGAGAGAGAGTTCCCTACTCTTTCTCTTTTTTTTGTTTCTCTCTCTCCCTCTCTCTGTCTCTCTCTCTCTCTCTGTAGATACAGATGTCGATTTAGGCATCGATATGTTTATGATTCCGACGATTATCATGGCTGTTATTGTGGTTATGATTGTTTGGATAGTGATGGCGGCTACGGTTCCTATTCCTGTTAGTGGTGTGCACGGTTGCACTGAATGACATGTACGAGCGAAACACGCCGCTGGGACTGCCGCAGCGTTTGCGCTCATGTATGCAAAAAAATCGCCACAGTGCTGAAATTTTTCAAAGCCCTCCCACTCCGCCCTTATAGATGGTGGGGTGCCGACTGAACGATGCGCAGTTGTACTACTTTCACTTGCGCATGTCATGTTCAGCCAGACGCCGCCTGCCACATGATTGCCATCCTTGGAAAAGTTCGAGGGTTGCGTTGCGTTGTGTAGCGAGATGTCGAGTATTTACATCACGGCCGTTTCACCCTGTTGATGACAGTAGCGCCAGCAGAGTTTGCAAGATCCTGTACGGGGCCTGCTTCCCGTAATCAGGCAAGAAGCCCGCGTCTGTAAGCCATAAACACCGAAGCACCTAAACCCCCAGCCCTAAACCCTAAACCCTGAAGCCCCAAACCCTAAACCCTTAAACCCTGAACCCTAAACCCTCAAACCCTAAACCCCAAGCCCCAGCGAGGATTTGAACCTTCTGTCGCACGTGGTCTTGAAGGTCCCGAGCTGAAGAGTGGAAAGCTGACAAAAAGAAGAGGGGTTAGTTGGGGTTTAGGGTTTAGGGTTTAGGATTTAGGGTGTAGGGCTTTGGGGGGAGGGGGGGGGGGAGGGGGAGGGTTTCCCGGGTTCTGGGGTTTGGTAGGGTTCGCGCTGCTGAAAGTGCTGGCATGAAGCAGGGCCTGTACAATGAACAAGATCATCCCCTTTATGGCCGGTCATTTTGTCATGTTTGAGCAGCCTACCCTACAGACCTGTGAGTTCCCAACGAAAAACCAGCCGTTTGTATCTCCGGAGGAGGGCCCCCCTGAAAATCAGCTCCTTACCCCAAATCTAAACCCTACATTTCTAAACCCGAAAAACCCCAAACCCGAAAACCCCAAAGCCCTAAACCCATACAATCTAGAGCCCTAAAGCCCCCGAAACCCTAAAGCCCCTAAAGCCCTAAACTTGGAGGTTCATGGTGCTTAGTAACTAATTCTAGCTGTACTTATAACCCAATCAATCACTTTTCCATTCTATTCGGGAAAATCTTGCCGAAGCCGACCCCTCCTTTTAACCCTATTCCGAGTTAGGGGGAGGGGGGGCGAGGGGGAGGGGGCTCAGAGCCTCAAAAACCTGCCAGCCAATTAAAACCCTATCCCAAGATGGCATCGGGAGAACAACATCCCCCCTAATACTAAAAGCACATTTCGAGTTTTGTTTTTTTTCTTTTTTTTTGGGGGGGGGGGGGGGGGGGTCGTTTAACAATAGGGGGAAGGGATTATAGCCTAGGTATCTAGACTTAGGGGACTTACGGTATAGTTGGGTTATAAACACAGCTGTAACTAGTTACCCTAAACCCTAGACCCTAGACCCTAGACCCTAAACCCTAAACCCTAAACCCTTATTATGAACCTCCAAGTAGAGTCGTCCTCCGAGGCGGATCCGAAATGCGGGGCCGCGGCCATCTGCGAGGCTCACCGATCCGCGTCGCAGGGATTTGGGTCTCAAGGGTTTAGGAAGAAGGGCCTGGGGTTTAGGGTTTAGTGTTTAGGGTTTAGGGTTTAGGGTTTAGGTTTCAGGTTTTCGGGTTTAGGGTTTAGGGTTTAGGGTTTAGGGAGGTTGGAGGCAGATCAGGTTGACATGTTTGGTTTGTTGACCTGCACTTCATGTAATCCTGAAGAATTAAGGCCCTAGTTTACTGCATCGTGGCGTGCTTAATTGCACTGTTGTAGCACACTTCCTAAATGAGTTAGTAGATGTTTTCGCTTGCTTCAGCTGTGCACCTTTTGATATGCTGGCTTAGTTTCAACTTCGTATCTTGAGACTCGTCAAGCTTCCCTCAGCTGGCGTTTAAAAAAAACCACATCCCACCAAACCTCACTGAACAAAAACAAGGGTACTCTTCTTTTGCAAGGTTCCTGATTCCTAAACCCTAAACACTAAGACTAAAACCCTAGAGCCTAAACCCTAAACTCTACAATGCGCAGAGCTCGCTCTACGGAAAGCGCTCGTTGCACTTAAAGAAACCGATAATTTGGGATCTTCCTCCTTATACGTAACAGTCCTCCATAGGCAGTATAGTACCCCCCCCCATGAGAATCCCCATTAAGGACAGCTGGTCTAAGGGGGCACATCCCGATCTATAATTAAACAAATACTATTAATGAATTCAACAAATACTATTAATGAATTAATTGAACAAATACTATTAATTAATTAAACAAATACTATTAATTAATTCAACAAATACTATTAATGAATTAATTGAACAAATACTATTAATTAATTAAACAAATACTATTAATTAATTCAACAAATACTATTAATGAATTAATTGAACAAATACTATTAATTAATTAAACAAATACTATTAATTAATTCAACAAATACTATTAATGAATTAATTGAACAAATACTATTTGTATGAAGGTTCTAAGGGGAGTATGGATGAGGTGCTCGAGCAGGTGGCGCAGAAGCGGTGGCGCAGCCGGCACCTGAGGGTCATTCGGTGGAGGCTTTGAGGCCCAAGAAAGTTTAGGATTTTGGGTTTAGGGTTTTGCTTAGGGTTTAGGGGTTTAGGGGTTTAGGGGTTTAGGGGTTTAGGGTGTTAGGGTAGAGTCACAGAGAGAGGGCTCAGGGTTGAGGGTGAGTAGGGGTTTAGAGGGTTTGCAGGGTCTGTTAGGCTGTTTTAGAGATCGGTGCGGCCCGTTCTCTTGAGACATGCTTGCAGCAAGGAAGGGAGGGAAGGGAGGTGCATCCTCTGTGTGGGCATTTCCCAAGATAGGGCCCGCGAAATGCTGTAATTCTCATGTAGGAACCCAGGTACCCTAGGAACTATACTCTGCGTGGAGCATCTAGAATCTTTTGCTGGTGTCTCGCCTGAGCCACGGAGCCACGGGGCCCTTCCACTTTCTCACAAGGTCGCACATTCTGCTCTTGCTTGATCTTCACCCCTAATTAAGGCCCTAAGCCCTCAAGCGTGGAAAGCTAAACCCTGCACCCGGAAATCCCCCCAAGCCCCGACATCCCCGTACGACATAAACCCTAGAACCCCTAAATCTCTAAATCCCTAAACCCCTAAACCCCTAAACCACCCCTAAACCCCTAAGCCCCCAAGCCCCTAAGCCCCTAAGCCCCTAAACCCCTAAACTCCTAAACCCCTAAACCCCAAAACCCCAAACCCTAAACCCTAAAGCCCCTAAATCCCCCCTAGGTCCCCCGCAAACCCTTGCCTGATTGCTGAGGAGACCGGCTCTGGATCGATATGCCCGGCGGTGACAAGGCCACAAGGGGTTTAAGGGTTTAGGGTTTAGGGTTCCTGAACCCTAAACCCTTAACCTTAAACCCTAAAGCCTCCGGTCCTGTCAGGCGTTGTAAGGTGGGCTTAGGGTGTGGAATGTGAAGGATTAAAGAACTTTAAAGGTTGGAATTCAGGGTGTAGGGTAACCCTAATCCCTAAACCATAAACCCTGAACCGCCTAAACCCTTCGGGTTGTCTGCAGACTGGAAGCTCCCCCACCATCCCCCACACACCGCAAGACCTCCCACTAGCCACTCTCAGGGTTTGCTTCCGCAAAAGGAAAGCTAGGACCCAGAGTAGGCCCTTATTCCACGTTTTTGAGGGTGCAGGTTCCCTTGCAAGCCCCTTTACACCGAAAACGGCACCCTAATTTTCCTAGGTTGTTTCTTCTTGGATCAAGAAGGTGACCTTCAGGCTCACTTGGATCTTCGGAAGCCCCACCACCCTAAACCCTAAACCCTACACCCTAAATCCTAAACCCTAAGCCCTAAACCCTAAACCCTAAACCCTAAACCCTAAACCCTAAACCCTAAACCCTAAACAACCCCAAACCCTAAGAACTCTAAACCGTAACCCACCAGAGGCCCTGGAGCTCCTAAAGCTCCGACAGTTCCCGAGCTTCCTGAACTTCCTAAGCCCCAAACCCTAGACTTCCTAAGCTCTGAAATCCCCTCTCCTGGATTTGTTGCCCCTGAATCAGGAATCACGCAACTACCCCTAAATCCTAAACCCTAAACCCTAAAAACGGAACCCTAAAACTACCCTTAGAAATACCAAAAGGGAATGATCCCAGGCCGCCCTGTGCGCCGCCGCGTTGCGCGGCGCAGCGCCGGAGCAGGCCGGAGACGTTTTCCAGGGCTTCTTCGTTTAGGGTTTGGGGTTTAGGGTTTACTAGGGTTTCTGGTTATTTAGGGTTTGGGGTTTATAAGGTTTAGGGATTGGTTCCACCAAGTGGCTCCAAAGCGTGGCGCTTGTCGGGCTTAGGGGTGGGTTTGCCACAAGAGGTCGAGCTTGGGCGGGTCGTAAAGGGATTTAAGGGGAGCTGGGACCCAACTGCGAGGCTTTGGGGGTAATCGGTGTTGAGGGCTCAGGGTTTTTTTCGAGATTTTTGGGGGTTTAATTCGGGGTTTAGGGTTCAGGGTTTCGGATGTAGGGTGTTGGTTTAGGGTATAGGGTGGGGTTGAGGGTATATTTGGGGGCCTGGGAGCGATTTCTGGGATCCCGTGCTGCCCCCATCGACCGCGGTACCCAGCAAGGAAGACCCTTAAAGGCTTTCTTAGTTGAAAGGGTTTAGGGTTTAGGGTTTAGGGTTTAGGGTTTAGGGTTTAGGGTTTAGGGCGCTTTGCGGTAGGGGAGTAGGTGGGGGGGTGGGGCCCCCTAAACAAGGCCCCAGAGCCCCCCCGACGGCCTTATCCCCAAAACCCATAGGTTTCTGCTCACCTCAGCACCGGAACCTGAATTCTGCAGGTCCTGGAAATCGGGACCGCTTGCGGGTACGCATCCCTCAAGCTCGCAACATGCTCAGTGCAGTCTGGAGTTACTGTAGTTTCAAGAGACTCCAACTGCTCCGGGGTTTTAAGCCCTAAACGTCCTAAACGTCCTAAACGTCCTAAACCTAAACCCCCAACCCTAAGCCCAATAAGCCCTAAACCCTGAAAAAACCCTAAACCCCGACTTTTCACCAGCTTTCGGAGTGCTGTAGGGCCGCGCGAACCCGAGCCCAACCTTGCAGGGCTTCCGGCAGGCAGCTCTCAGTTTCAGCAGAGCTGGCGCGCCTTAGGGCTCCCACATCAGGGTTTGGGGTTTAGGGCTTAGGTTTTAGGGTTTAGGGTTTAGGGTTTAAGGTTTAGGGTTCAGGGTTCAGGGTTCAGGGTTTAGGGGTTAGGGTTTAAGGGTTTAAGGGTTTAAGGGTTTAAGGGTTTAAGGGTTTAAGGGTTTAAGGGTTTAAGGGTTTAAGGGTTTAAGGGTTTAAGGGTTTAAGGGTTTAAGGGTTTTAAGGGTTTAAGGGTTTAAGAGTTTAAGGGTTTAAGGGTTTAGGGGTTTAAGGGTTTAAGGGTTTAAGGGTTTAGGGCTGAGGGCTGAGGGTTAAAGGGTTTCGGGGTTTAAAGGTTCAAGGGTTAAAGGGCCCAAAACCCTAAACACTACAACCTAAACCCTAAACCCTAAACCCTAAACCCGAAACCCTAAACCCTAAGCAGCTTTGGTGTTTGGGGCTTTGGATTTCCTTTAAGTGCGCCGCTCCATCTCGCCAAGGCCTTGGAGTTTCCGAGAGCTTCGATTCACACGGTTGAGGCCCGCAACGGGGGCCTTCAAAGGTTGGCGGCTGGTTGGGTTTAGGGTTTAGGGTGTAGGGTTTAGGGTTTAGGGTGTAGGGTTTAGGGTTTAGGGCTTACGGTTTAGGGCTTAGGGCTTAGGGCATAGGGTGTAGGGTTTATAGGTTGCCGGCACCTGATTAAGCTTGGAGGTGTTGGGAAAGTCCTGAGAAGGGCGGGCGCGGGGCAGCATGGGCATCAGTTATTGCGATGTCGCCACCGTCCTTCGGCCAGAGGTTATATCAAAAGCCCTTTCGACTACTACCACGGTCTGCTACGGTCTGCTATGGATTATTGGATTATCTTCAAGGCAGGGCTGCTTCAGAGGATTGCGACGAGAGCCCATTTCTGCCGCGTTTTTGGGTCGAGTTTGAAGGCAAAGCTCTTCGTGTCGGGCCCGATCCGACATAGCCCAGCACACTTGTGTGTGTTTAGGGGATCTGCTAACAGAGGGTCCGTTGTAGGAAGCTGCTGACAATCGTGCAGAGCTTTGCGGGGCGAAGATGTCTACTCTTGGGCTCATCACCGCCTTCGCCCTGTGGGCATGCCAGGCGAGGCAGGCAACCACATGCCCAGGAAGGATCTGTCCGGCCAATGACGGCGTTGACTTGATCCAGCTTGGCACACCTCGCGCCTTGAGAGCCTTCGAGGGGGAGGGTCCCGAGGTGGAAAAGGCCATGGCTTTAAGTACGCTTGCATTGACCTCCGGCACCGCGCCCTACGTGGTTTTCGAGGACTTCGAGAACGGCACCTGGCCATTTCCTTACGTGAGCTTCAGCAGCCCTGAACGAATTGATCAAGGTACTGTTCAGACTGCAGGTGGTGGAGCGGAAGGGACAAACCGTTACCTGACAAAGCTCCCCTTGAATGAAACCGGCACCCTGGACTGGGCGAGGTGGCCGTCGCCGTACACCAGTAGGGTGGGCACCACGCTACAGGTGTGGCTTACTTCGCCTTTAGTTGAACTTTAAACTTTTTGGGTTTCCTTGTTAAGTAGGAATATTGAAGTTTAACCTTTTTTTTTACCAATGGTTATTGGAGAAGTAAGGTGGTTCCGTCTCCAACCCACAAGGCGAGCAAACGCCTTAGCACGTGTTGCCTTCGACAGCGATCCGGACATGGTCTTCACGTTCAGCTTTTCGGGTACTACTTCGATCCTTTGTCATGGTTGGGTAACATTTTTCATGTTTAAGGGTACTTAAACCCAATAAGGAATACATTTTTGTACCTTTAATACTATCCCAACCATGAACTAGGATCTTTGTGCATTTCTTGCCATTCTCGTCGGACCCGACAGTCTTCGACGGCGTGGACTTTACACTCTGGACTCAGCTACTCATCACGGTGACTAGGTAGGCCACTTGAAATACGTTTTTTTTATTATACTCATCGCTTTTATTTATTGGGTTCAAGAGGGTCATATTAAGGAATATTCATTTCTCACATTTTTCCCTTTGTTGGGTTTAAGAGGATCGTCATATGTGGGAATGTCAGAGGGTTTCAAGGGGCCATCCGAGGTGAGGTCCTCCAGCGTTGCTGTAGCCCGGCTCTATGACCATCGAGCTGGCACAGCGGAGCTGATCGGCGGGGTGCAGTGGGATTTCTCACCAAAAAGCTTCTCCGAGTTTGGAACCTTCGGCGTCTTTGGCCTCGGAGAGCCGATCCACTTCAGCTGGCGACGTGTGGTCCTGAGGTAGAGATCACCTCGACTACAGATCCGGGAGTGTGCGCCGCGACCGTCACCTTCTCTGGCTGCATTCCGAGCATCACCTACGCGTGTGCCCCCGCGTCAGGCACCAGCTTCGCAGTGGGAAGCACGGAAGTCCAATGCTCGGGCGCCGATAGCGTCGGCATGGAGAGCCAGAGCATCCTGGTGTCAGTCCAGGACGCAGAGCCGCCGGTCCTTGCTGCTTTGCCAGACATCCGGCAGTCCAGCTGTGGGGGCACCACGGCCCAAGTCAGCTTCACGGCAGAGGCCAGCGACAACTGTGTTGTTGAAGCTGTGGTGTGCAACCCAGAATCAGGATCTTGGTTCCCAGTTGGGAACACGACAGTGGAATGCTCTGCCAGAGATACATCTGGCAACATGGCCAATCAAAGCTTCAAGGTGTCCGTATTTTATGAGGAGGTCTTCACACAGCATCCAGACATCCAGATTTCCAGCACCTGTGAGGACTTTGCTCAGGTGATGTTCGAGGTCGAGACCTCGGCCAATTGTGCAGTGGTTCTCGTTTGTGAGCCGTCCTCGGGGAGCCTCTTCCCTACAGGTAGCACCGAGGTCAACTGCACGGCGACAGGCCTGACCGGTGGTACCTCAAACATGAGCTTCGACGTGAACGTGACAAGGGATTCTACTCCGCCCGTCCTCGACACTCTGCCGGACATGCGTTTCGATGCCGGCTGTGAGACCAGCGCTCAGGTCAACTTCCAAGTCGCTGCTGCGGACAACTGCGGAGCAGTGCAGCCAGTCTGTGTCCCGCCCTCCGGGTCATGGTTCCCTCTGGGCAATACCACTGTGGGCTGCACGGCGACCGATTCGGCCGGCAACTCTGCTAACAGCAGCTTTCAGCTGGAAGTGGTTGGGGGAAGCACTCCACCTAGCTTGGATGCACACCCGAAGATTGAGCCAAAGTCTCCCAACTGCCAGCCAATGCAGGTGGAGTTTGAAGTGGCAGCAAGGGGAGGCTGTGCAGCCGAAACCGAGTGCATTCCTCCATCAGGCTCACTCTTTCCACTGGGCCCAACGACAGTAAGGTGCACTGCATCAGATGCATTTGGCAATGTAGCCAACATGAGCTTCGAGGTCAACGTATGGTGTGACAAGCGCCGCCGCCGCAAGCGCAGGTATAGTGGGGCTTACTCTTACACCGCGAATTCGGCGTAATTAGGCCGTAATTAGGCATGCTGAACAGAAGCATGCCTGGCCTTGGACTGTGCGAAAGAAGCATCAAGCAAGAGTCCCCGCGATAAATATCTCGAGCGAGATGCGCTGCAGCGAGTCGAATTTCATACGGTTTCATGGAATTCTGCCGGGTCTGCAGGAGGATGTCTTGCGGGTGGCTATTGCAAGATGCAACATCGCTGGGAGCTGAGCAACCGCCATGAGATGATTGGTTCAAGGAACCAGGGAAGCTTAGGGACCGGTCGATGTTTATCGGTTTCAGGGAGGCATGTGCTTGCGTAGGGGTGGTGCTGCCTGGGGCCCCGGCTTGGGCCTCCATAACGACATGAGACCATGTTCCTTTTTGTCCGGGGTGCCCAAACAAGGCGAATACGGCAACCCCCCATGCTTGGCTAGGCTTGGGTTTAGGGCTTGAGGGGGGCCCTGGAGGGACCCTGTTTAAGGGGTAATGTAGGGGCTACTTACTTAGGTATAGGGACTATTAAAGGTCTCATTTGGGGTTATATAGGGGTAGTACGTTGTATAGTATGTCGTGTAAAGTGTAAGGGTTCCAAAGTTGCCCAGCCTCAGCCCTAAACCCGAAACCCTAAACCCTAAACCTTGAAACCTAGACCCTAAGCCCTAAAACCCTAAGCCCTAAACCCTAAACCCTAAACCCTAAACCCTAAACCCTAAACCCTAAACCCTAAACCCTAAACCCTAAACCCTAAACCCTAAACCCTAAACCCTAAATCTAAAGTAGGCTCCCAAATTAGGGGGGGGGGGGGGGGCTTTGGAGATCTGAGGCCATGGCCGCACTGAGCGCCAGGATCCAGGCCGCTCAACATGAACGTTGGGGGCGGAGGGGGGGGGGGGTGGGGGGGTGGGGTTATTTTGTGGTATCTCAACAACATAGGGTTTAGGGTTTAGGGCTTAGGGTTTAGGGTTTAGGGGTTAGGGCTCAGGGTTTAGGGTTTAGGGTTTAGGGTTTAGAGCCATTTCCCAGCAAAGGGGGTTCCCCTGAGACGGGGGGGTGGTTTCGATATAGGGTTGAGGGTTTAAACCCCAGTTTACCCCCCAAGAAAAGAAATATAGATACAAACAGAGTCCTCTAATGTAAGTTCTGTTTATAGTCCTTTTCCGTTTTATGGGGCCGGCTCACGGCTCGCTCTGACCTACGCCGTGATGACAGGAGAGGGGAGGAGGGATCCTCTTTCTGAAATCCATGTCTTCCTTTTTCAAAGCCTTAGCACTCCCTACACATGTCAGGCATAAGATGCTAGGAGGGGAAAAAAAAGGCTTCCTGACTAAAAGCGTGGTCAAGCGGGTTCGAGAGCCCTTGCTGGCACAGGTGTGGCTGGGAAGCAGCAGCGAGGTGATTCCCAGGCAAGTGTTGAGGGTTTAGGGTTTAGGGTTTTCAGTGGTTCAAGCTGTGCAGCGGCCCTTTCCAGGTCCCCCCCAGCTGTCGTTGTGGGTTCCCTGAGGGTTTAGGGTTTAGGGTTTAGGGTGGGGGGTTATTGGAGTATCAGTATAGCTAAAAAGGGACCATTAAGGGAATACCATTAGCAATTGTTACGGCCCCCTACGCTGTATCATGTCAAGCTATGTTGGGCTTTTTCCCCCAAAAAACTGGGGGGGGGGGGGTTACCATCCTGGCAACTTGGGCTTAGGGTTTCGGGTTTAGGGTTTAGGGTTTAGGCTTTAGGGTTGTGTGGCGTGGTTCTAGAGGTGTTTACCACCTCTTGCGCCGCAAAGGGCCGTTTTCACCGCCATGACTGCGCTCAGCCCTTTTCTGTCAAAGGCTAGGAATGGCAGGCGTCGCTAACACCACTGACCGAAACATGATTGCAGAACAAACCCTAAACACTAAACCCTGAACCCTAAAACCCCTAAACTTGGCCCTAAAACCAAACCCTAAGTGCCAGCACGAACATGCAAACGGGGGGCGCCACGCAACAGCTGTTTTACCAGCAGGGGTCTCTTGGGGCCACCAGCCCTGGGGGTTTAGGGTTTAGGGTTTGGGGCTACTAGGACCCCAGAGTAGGCCCCTTATTCCCTTTTTGTTAGGGTTTAGGTTCCCTTAGAACCCCCTTTAAACCAAGAAGGGCACCCGTTTTATTCCTAGGTTACTCCTGGGTCGTAGGAGCCTTAGTAACTAGAATGTAGGAGCCTTAATGACTAGGAAGGCCCTTATATAAATTTTCCCTCATTGGGTTTAAGAGGATCATACTTTTCAGAGGGTGTCTAGGGCCATCCTAGATAGTTAGACTAGGGTTTCGGGGGTCTGCGGACCGAAGTCTGCGCAATGAAGGTGAAGCAGGGTGTTCTGTACACCCACGAGAATATCATTCAGGAATCATACTTTAGAGGATGTTTGGAATGTGTTGTAGAATAGCGTTTTGGCGGGTTAGTATAGTATAATGATAAAGGGGCCACAAGCAAGGGAGTATTATTTGTCATTATTCGACCCCCCCCCCCCCCCCCCCCCCCCCTATATTGGATACCTTATGCAATCCCTCAATGAACCCTAAAGCCCTAAAACCCTAAAACCCTAAAACCCCAAAACCCTAAAACCCTAAAACCCTAAACCCTCCGAACTCCTCCCCTCCCCTCCTCCCGAAGTTTTGTTGAAGCCCCCTAAACCCTAAACCCTAAACCCTAAACCCGAAACCCTAAAACCCTAAAACCCCAAACCCTAAACCCTAAACCCTAAACCCTAAAACCCTAAACCCTAAACCCTAAACCCTAAACCCTAAACCCTAAACCCTAAACCCCCGTCTCGCGGCTTTGGGAGGCTTCCCGGGCGCTTCGGGGCTGTCCTCTTGGATTCAGACGGCCCGTTGAGCTGAGGTTAGAGGGGAGGGCTGAGGGGTTTAGGGTTTTCGGGGTTTAGGGTTTAGGGTTTGGGGTTTAGGGTTTAGGGTTTAGGGTTTAGGGTTTAGGGTTTAGGTGTTTAGGGTTCAGGGTTTAGGGTTTAGAGAGCCCTAAGCCCAAGACCAAGAACCGGGGAGGAGGAGACTGATGAACTACTGGGTTCAGGGTCTAGGGCTCAGGGCTTCGGATTTTAGGGTTTAGGCTTCAGGGTTTAGGGCTTCGGGTTTAGGGTTTAGGGTTTAGGGTTTAGGGCTAGGGTTTAGGGCGGGAATAACGATATTACATTGATAAAGCAAGAGTTGTTATACACGGAAGTTGGTCATAGGAAGAGTTGTTGTTACAGGAAGATGTCTACGGTAACACAAAAAGAGCTGCTCGGGGGATCCTAACATTGCTACACCGGGGGGGAGGGGTTACAGATGGTGTAAGAGTGTAGGAGGGTTTGAAGGGTTTAGGGTTTTTACAGGGCTTGAGGGGTTTAAAGGTTGATGGGTTGAATTTTGGACTTCTTAACCAGTGCTGCTACGTGCCCCCTCACCTGTCTAAACTCAAATCTTTACATGGGTGTACGAAAAATTGGGGGACCCCCAAGATAGATCCCCAAGTCGTAGGATTCCCTTTATAGTAAGGGCCCCAATAAGGTACCCCAACTCTGAATATCAGGTTGAAGAGGATGATATTTTGGGTTTAGGGTTTAGGGTTTAGGGTTAGGACTATTTTTCAGAAGCTTTAAGGGCCATCCTAGTTGTCGAAGGTCCCAGTTGAAAGCAACCCTAAACCCTAAACCCAAAACCCTAAACCCTAAACCCTCAACCCTCAACCCTCAACCCTAAACCCTAAACCCTAAACCCTAAACCCTAAACCCTAAGCCCTGCTGGCACACCGAGGCTCACGCTACCTGCAGGACTTGGGGCTCCTGGCGGAGCAGGGCCTGCTCGCCACCAGGCGCACTTGGCGCGTTTGGGGAGGGGGGGCGGGGGGTTTTTAGGGTTTAGGGTTTAGGGTTGGGGTTTGGGGTTTGGGGTTTCGTGGAGGTGAGGGGCCTTGAGGGTGTAGGGTTGAGGGTTTGAGGGGTGTGGGCTTGGGGCTTACCACAGCTCTTGGCGCTGAGACAACCAAAGCACCCATGAGCCCAACAGTCCCCATGCCCAACGACCATCCAACAACCTCTTTAGGGTTTAGGGTTTAGGGTTTAGGGTTTAGGGTTTAGGGTTTAAGGGGTTAGGGTTTTGGGTTGAGGGTCTAGGATTTAAACCCTCATGTTGGGATGTTCCCCCTAAAACTGGCAGTCCTTAATAGGGATCGTAGTACCCCCCCCCCAATTACAATCCCTATTCAGGATTGTTAGTATAAGGGACAACATCCCAACCTTCATGCTCTACCACCGCAAATGGGGCTTGGGTATTTTGCTTGGAGATTCATGGGCATAACCCCAATCATGAGTCGACTTTTAACCCAACTTGAAGCTACTTGGAGGACGTAGGGGCCTTTTAAGTACGAATACAATTGGGGTTCTAAGGGGGTTTCTGTAGACCCCACAATAGCAGGATTCCCTTATAAGAATGGATCCCAAATAAGGTACCCGCTAGTGTCGGAGACCCCCATAAGTAACCTGAACCTGCAAGTCGTGTCGCATTGTTTAGGGTATTGGGGTTCAGGGTTTAGGGTTTAGGGTTCAGGGTTCAGGGTTTAGGGTTTAGGGTTTAGCTGGAAGGCCCGTGGTGGTCGCCAACCACGTTTTGAAGCCTGGCGCGCCCGAGCTGCTTTCGCAGGCCGGAATGGGAGACGAAAGGGGGCTTCAATGAGTGCTTTTAGGTTTTAGGGCGTTGGGTTGGGGCTTTAGGGTCTCTTGCAGGGTTGAGAGGTTTTTTTTTGGGGGGGTTTGGGCTGTGTTGAGGTTTGGACTCAGGAGCATCGGGCTTCGGGTGTGTGGTGGGGAGAGAGTGTCTGCGGCCCCCCCCCCCCCCCCCGGTTTAGGGTTTAGGGATTAGGGAACCTGCCCCAGAATGACCCAAATTGGGGAGGGCTTTGGGATTCTTTTGCCTTCAATCCCCACCGTCATTTGTAAGGCCAAGAGTTTGAGACCTTGAGGCTTATCAGACCCTGCACCCCAGATTGTCAACCCCTAAACCCCAAACCCCAAACCCTAAACCCTAAACCCCAAACCCCAAACCCTAAACCCTAAACCCCCCCCCCCCCCCCAACAAAAAGCAAAAGACCAAAAATGCGCCGTAGGACAAGCCATCTTGTCTCCTCCTGGGGCCCCATTCCCAACTCCCACGGCTTCTCAGCTCCGCCACTTCGCGGCGACGCAAGCTGCGGCCTTGGGGGGTGGGGGGGGGTTGGTTTAGGGTTTAGGGTTTAGGGTTTAGGGTTTAGGGTTTAGGGTTTAGGGTTTAGGGTTTAGGGTTTAGGGTTTAGGGTTTAGGGTTTAGGGTTTGGGGTTTAGGGTTTAGGGTCTAGGGTTTAGGGGGCCTTGGGCGTGGGACAGAGGGGCGCTGATGGTCGGTCTGGGCCTCGCTAGGTCTTCTAAGCTGTGCTAAAACCCGATAAACCCCTCCAAAAGCCCCCATACACCCTGAAATCAACCCTGAAATCAGCCAGCCCTCTTACCCCCAAACCCCCAAAACTATCCTCTTCCGACAGCTGTGCACAGCTGCCCACGGAGAGGCCCCTGGTGGAAACCCCTGGGAGCCTTGCCCGAAGTGACCCGAGCGCGACCCAAGCGTCCCAAGTCACCATAGAGCTCGGAATAATGACGAATAGTATTCCCTTAGGGTCCCTTTCTGAATAGATAGTAACCCCCCAAAAACCCCTCTTCTAACAGCCTGTCATTCAGCTCATCGGACCGATGTGACGCTTTGAAGCCCCAGCCTCGAAGCTTTGCGGACGCAAGTGCACCGCTTTGACGTCCGGCCAAGCCCACCCCAGGGCCCCAGGACCCCAGGGCCGTGTTGTGCGCAAAGGAATCAGATGTGAGAATATGTGAGATGCAAGTCGAGATTTCAGAACGCGAGCGTTTGATTCCATGCCTGCAGAGACGAAAGGCGTGCGTTTGCCATGTCCTTATGTGCAAGTCACTGCACCATGTTGTCGCGGCCATGCGTGAAAGCAGCAGTGTCTCCGCGAGATTTTTCTTGGCTCCAGAACGAGGCCCCTCAATCCTTCAGCCTTCGGGAACCTTCAGAACGAGGACCGATGGCGTGTTCTTCGGCCACGCGTTTTTGGCTTCTCCTGGCCATGACCTGCAGCGCATACGGTGCCGGTACCTCTTGCTCCCAGAACAGCGAGTGTGAGGAGTCTGGTGACTTAGTGGGCTGGCTGCAGTGGGGTGGCATGCCGACTCCCCCCCCGCCGAAACGTGATGACGGCACGGGGGAGTGTGGCAACGATGATGTGGCCTGTGAAGCCAAGAAGCTTGGTTGTTACTTGTGGGACAAGTTCCAGCGTGACTGGGTGGGGCACCCCTTGGACAAGAATGATGGTATTGACTACGTTCTCGACGATGACGACGACGACGATGATGATGACGACGACGATGACGGTGACGAACTGTCAAAGCTGTTCTTTCAGACATCATACAGGTTTAAGGCGATATGCCAGGGACATGACACGCAGTCGATCGAGAAGTATTTCCCGAAGGAGGAAGCCTCCAAAGCGTCCTTGATGCAGGCCAGGAAGAGCATCCTCAAAGGCGAGACCTCGAAGCATTGCCCAGACGCACACGAGTGCACCATCGACGTCCAGAAGCACCTCAGTGAGAACCCGGCCGCAGAGTTTGCCATGTCAGCGACCCAAAACGCGGCCAGCATGGCCATCGATACCGTCAAGAGTATTGCGGAAGAAACGGGGCTCATTGCCATGAAAGGTGCCCTTGCTTTCAGCTTCATTGGCGGCTTAGTCGGCGAATTTTTCCCAAGCCCTGGCGGCCTCCCAGAAAACCCTTGCTCACATTCTGGTGGCGATGATTGGAGCAAGTGCGTCTGGGAGCAAATCAAGCCCTTTGTGGAGAAGTTCGTCGCTATGCTCTTCTTGAAGACCAGTTTCTATTTCTAGTATGTAGTGAAGGAAGGAACAGAAGGTTCTTGCGAATTCGGACCTCCAGAACAGCCAGTTGCAGGTCAAACAAGAGTTGGACAAGAAGTTCGAGGAGGTCTGGGATGCATACTTGAACGGCTACAAGTTGGCCTTGTGGCAGCTGAACAACACCGCCTACCAGGACTCCAAGCATTTCGACAACGGGACCATCGAGCACATGCCGGACCATGTCAGAGACGCGATGTACCACGACCTATCCATTGTCGAGAAGAGAATGCTCATGGATGCGCCCTTCTTCCTTGTGCGTGAGGCCGAGTCGACGGAAGCCAGCTATTTGTCCCAGTTCGCCGGCTTGCACATCAGCGTGATGAGCAACCTCCTGGGGTACAATGCCACCCGCACTCGAGGCCGGGGTCGAGTCGGCAGTGGAGCCTGTACATCTTATAGAGCCCTGCACCCACGAAGGCGTCACACACCCAAGCCACCACCTCCGCCCCCCAAAAGCCCTTCAATCCTTATGAGGAGAGAGAGCCCTAGGCAACCCCAAACCCTAAACCCTAGACCCTAAACCCTAAACCCTAAACCCAATCCCTGAACCCTGAACCCTGAACCCTAAACCCTAAACCCTAAACCCTAAACCCTAAACCCAAATTTAGGCTCTAAGCCTCATCTCCGAATCCTGAAGGTCCCATTCAGTCCCCAATGTGACCCGAAAGCCTAACACCTTGAAGTCGGCCCCCCCTCCCTAAACCCTAAACCCTGGACCCTAAACCCGAAACCCTAAACCCTAAACCCCAAACCCTGAACCCCAAACCCCAAACCCTAAACCTATTGAGGCCACAAGTCCAGCTTCGGCAAACTGGCGAACTGCTATGCCCTACGCGTCTACGAACGAGCAACGGAGCAACTGAAGAGTCGGCTTGCGGCCTTGAAGCTTAGGGGTACTTGGAATTTTTTTTTGTGGGGGGGGGGGGGGGGGGGGAGGGGGGGGGAGGGGGGGGGGGGGGGGGGGGGGGGGGGGGGGGGGGGAGGGGGGGGGAGGGGGTGGGGGGGGGGGGGGGGTGGGGGGGTACGTTAATTCCTAAGAAGCTTAGGGATACTTGGAAATATGTTTTTTCCAATTTTTGGGGCTAGAGTTATATTTTTTGCTAGGGTTCCAAGTGCAGCAAAGGAAGAAAGACGAGGAAGGTCCCAAGAAGAAGACCTATTGGCCCAGTGGAGAAAATCATGAGGAGTCGTACTTGTACATGAAGGCAAAGTACAAGGACACTTGGCAAGACGAATGCAAGTGGAAGACCGGGTTCGAACAAGAGATGGATGATTATGTACCGCGGTACAGCGACAAAGAGGAGGGGCTTGATCAAATGTCGGAATTCGTTTTGTTTCTTTCTCTCCGTTTCTCTGGAAAGCTTAGGGGATTGTTTTGTTCATGTTCTGAAGCAAGCCAGCAGGTCAAGAAATTGGGGAAAGCGGCCAAGAAGTGTAACAAGAAGCACGTCCGAGAGGTCAAGAAGCAAACGGGAAAGTTTTGGATGCAATGGCTCCGTCCAATTCCGTACTGGTTGTTCAATGTCATGAAGATGCAGCAGGTCGCCGTAAGCAACGATTCGATGATGACACTCGCTCGGAGTTTGAGAAGTTTTCTCTGTTTCGAAGAAGCCCCCATTAAGCTAGAGTCCCAGACAACGCCCGAAAGCGCAAAGCGTAATTAAACCAATATAGGGGTCGGAAGAGTATTTCCCTATGGTCCCCTTATATGTATACTATAAATAATGCCCCAAAACCCTATTCCATTTTCTGAGGCCCCTATAATAACCCGCGTCTCGCGCTGGAACAGCCGAGGACGAAGGCCCCACCAGTGGATTGCTCTTATTTGGGATGATTTTCACACTGAATTCGCGGATCGTGTCCCGAGCCGAAAACAGGTCTGAAGGGACGATGCAAGATCGAACTCGGTCAAGCCAATGTGCAAGATCGGTTGAAGGTTCTGTTCTTCTGTTTTCTTTTGAACCCAGATATTCTCTCCAGAGATCTTGCCTGGAGGCGCCATGGCATGTGATTTTCTGCTTATTGCTTGCAGCGCAGGACCGGAGTTCGCAGATATGATGAGGTGCCTCCACGACAGCCAGAGGGGATTCTATGAGAAGGCGATGCGCAGCAGCGGCAGCTTGCAAAAGTGATTGTAGACCCGCGCTGCACACGACCAGGTACGCCACCTGTGCGAATTCCATCTCTCCAGAATCTGCAGGGGGGGGGGGGGGGGGGGCGGGGGTTCAGGATCCAGGGCTAGAGAACTGGAACCGGGAATGAGGGAATTGGGCACCTTTTATCCCTCTACCTTTACCCCCTTAAGGGATTACACAGGTAGTTTTCCTCATTCCCTACTGAGAACCAGCAAGAGAAGATACTGTAGGGGTCGAAATAGTTATTCCATTATGGTCCCTATATCATCGCTGTAATCACCCCCCAAAGCCTATTCTGATAACCCTAAACCCTAAATCTTACACCCTAAACCCCAAACCCTAAACCCTAAACCCTAAACCATTACCCCCCCCCCCCCCCCAAACCCTTATTCTACTTATTAAGGTCCCTATAGTACCGGCATAGGCTTTTCAAACTTCTGGGACCCAAGGTCATCTCCGTGCCAGAGTTCCAAATGCCCGTCGAGGCTGGGTCGGTGCTATACCCTAAGCCCTAAACCCTAAACCCTAAACTCTAAACCCTAAACCCTAAACCCTAAACCCTAAACCCTAAACCCTAAACCCTAAACCCTAAACCCTAAACCCTAAACCCTAAACCCTAAGCTATCCCCCCAACCCCAAAATATACAGCCCCAAGCAGGGCTTAGTGAAGGGTTTACTTTGGGCATGGACCCGATAGCCTAAACCCTACACCCAAAACCCTAAAAGGTTGGGAGTTTCAGTTCTTCAGGAACTGGAGTTGAGGGATGCAATTCGAAGTGATAGTCCTCAGCACCCTTTTCACATACTCCTTGAGATGTGAGGGCCGCCGGGTTTAAGGTACAGGTTTCAGAGTTGAGGGTTTAAAGTTTAGGGTTTAGGTCCTCTAGGTACTTTTCGAAGTCGGATCCCTCATTGAAGTCCCCAGATGCAACGCGAATTCACAGTAATTGATCCCTGCACTACCTAGTCACGTCTCTCAATGATGGTTCTGTTTTGGTGGTTCCTTCCATAACCACGGAGCCTCACATGTAGGGCACCCGAGATGGGGCCATAACTTAGAGAAGAGACCTGCCTGCCTGATTCACCAGCACACCACGTTTGACCTTCCTGGCACGCAGGGTTGCGGAAGGGGTGTTCCATTGTGTGCCAGCCCCTCTGCCAGGACTGGATCTCCGTGTCCATTCTTTTAAAGCCAGATGCCCAGCTGAGAACAGGTGTCTAACATAAGGATGTAGAGACATTTAGGGCATGTCGAGGCACAAGGATTAGCCATGGCGTGTAGCCTCCCAAGAAAGGACAACTAACTCAAGGGCAAGTTTTTGGAACGGCGCAGCCATCAGAAAACGCCTCCCTTGCCCCACAAATCTCCGCACTGCATTCCTCACCCAAGGCCATACAGACGAGGTTACCCTAAACCCTAAACCCTAAACCCTAAACCCTAAACCCTAAACCCTAAACCCTAAACCCTAAACCCTAAACCCTAAACCCTAAACCCTAAACCCTAAACCCTAAACCCTAACCCTAAACCCTCAAAGCCCAACAGCCGACCCTTGGCTTGAAGACCTCTTGTGCGACACCTGAGTTCACTGCAGCGGCCCCGAGAAGCTGTGTCTTTATGACACACACCACCCGCAAATGCCCCTTTTTTTCAGGGTTCAGGTTCCCTTATAATCAGGGTTTAGGTTCCCTTATAATCAGGGTTTAGGTTCCCTTATAATCAGGGTTTAGGTTCCCTTATAGTCCCGGGTGCCCTTCTTATTCTTAGGTACTCTTGGGTCTAGCCCCTTAGTGCCGGCTGCTCAAAATTTACACCCGCTCTACTTGCGAAGGCCTCAAGAAGCCTCGGGCCTTTTCTTAAAGTCATAGGGGCCACCTTCCTCCAGCACCCCTTCGAATGGAGTAGAGCCCTACAACCCTTATGCAAATGGGAGTTTACGACAGGAAGGGACCGTTACTATAGATCCCCAAGTAGTAGGCTTCCTTTATCATAAGGACCCCAACAAGGTACCCCTAATTTCGGAAACCTAAACCCTAAACCCTAAACCCTAAACCCTAAACTCTAACCCCTAAGCCCCCAAAGTTCTTCTTCCAATGAAATAAGGCCCCAAGGCTATGTGTAGTCTATTGCTCAGACTGGCTGGAGGCCACCAGGGGCGCTCCCTGTGGCAGGGAAAGGCGCGGTTACACACCTGAAAATGTCCTCTAAACCCTAAACCCTAAACCCTAAACCCTGAACCCTAAACCCTGAACCCTAAGGGGGGGGGGGGGGCGACTTGGGGAGGGCTTTAGGGTATGTTATGTGCTACTTTGGGGCTAGGTAAGTTTTGTTTTGGGGGGGGGTCCTTTGCCACCTCTGCCCGCCTGGACGCTCACGCTTCCCAGAACCCGTGAACCATGAAGCCCTGAAACTCCAACACCCTGAACCCCCAAACCTCGAAGCCCTAAACCCTAAACCCCTGACCCCTGAAACCCTAAAACCCTGAGCTTCTAAGCCCTAACGCTAGAAGCGTGAAACCCGCTTGGCAGGCGTGCGGCAGCTGACTGAGCTGTCCAGGAACATTAGGTGCCCTTGCATTTCTTGCGGTAGGGAGCTGGATAGGGTCTTGGGATTTTTTCTATACTTCCCCTTAGTGGGTTTAACAGGACCCTATATGGGATATGCTACATTTTCCCTTATTGGGTTCAGTAGGATCCTATTTTGTTTAGGGCCAAGGGCTGATCCTGGGCCTTCTGTGGAACTCGATATAAGGAATACTCCAGCAGAGACACCCCCCCTACAAGGGTCCAAAACCCTAAACTCTAAACCCTAAACCCTCAACCCAGGGTTGTTAAAAAAAAAAAAAAAAAGCACCTGAAACCCAACATCAGCTTTTGTTGAAGGAACATCTCAGCTGGTGATTGTCCCCCCTACTCCCCTCACGCAAAAGCCTTATATGAGCCCCACGTAAGGGTACCCACCCCATAGCTCCCCGCAACTGAAATCTCCTTGGTGTTCTCTAGACTCACCCGCGCAGATTCCCTAAGCCCGAAGCCCAAAACCCTAAGCCGAAGCAGCTTGCCTCGAGCATACTTTTGTCAGCCAGGCATTGTTGTAGGCTTTTGCTCCTCGTGTTAAACTAGTAAGTGTCTAACCTGAAGAGCTTAGACCTGAAACCCAAGCCCTAAACCCTTCAACAGTAAGGCCCTTTTTTGTCCTTGCACCCCTTCCCTAAACCCTGAGCCCAACACGCTAAACCTCTTATAGAAGCGACATGAGCACACTGCACATGCAAAACCGAGCCGGATAGGTCGCGAGCCAACGATGCGGGTAGCAGAAAAGTCCCCGCCTCAGGTATTTAGGTAAGAATCTCCGTCTTTCTTGACTGAGTTGTATCTTCTTAAGGGACCAGGGTATTAGGCCTTGAGGGAGTTTCGTGGGTCGTGTGTAAGTTGTAGTGAGGGCCTTGTTAGGGTCGGGGAGGATCAAGGTTCAAGGCTTGGGGGGGCGGGGGGGGGTTTGAAGGGATTTGAAGGGATTATCATAGCGGGACTACTAAGGACTGTTAGTATAAGAGGGAACATCCCAAAGTACCGTTGGCTAAAAGGGCACCTGAACGCTCACTCTGATGTTTTTTTTTAACGCACCTAGCGCAGCAGACTTGCGTGCACCAGAGAGAAACTGTGCTTGGAGGACTCTTGGTGCTGTCTGCTGTAGACCCTGCTGCAGTTGAGGGCCTGGAACCCAAAAGCCACAAGCGACCGTCAACCACGCCCAGGCCAGCAAAGCTCTGGACGATTGGAAGCAGTTCGTGGCCAGCATGAAGCGAGGCGGGCCGATGAGTCGCACGCCGCCGTGCTGCCACGCCGCGCCCTCTCAACCTGATAACCCTATATGCCGTCTAAGCCCTCTTAAGCCCTAAATTCAGCCAGAACCCATATTCATACCTCGAAGTATAGTGCCTCGGTCTGTAGGTCCCCGCAACAACACGTGGCGCCCTTTTCCTTTCAACCTGGGGGCCTCTCCTTTCTCCAGACCTCCGCAGGCCTTGCGAAGGAAGGCGCAGGGGAGCCCAGAGGGGCTTCGGGAAGTCCTGTTTAGGGTTTAGGGTTTAGGATTTAGGGTTTAAGGTTTAGGGTTAAGGGTTTAGGGTTTAGGGCTTCTAGGGTTAGGGTTTAGGGTTTAGGGTCTTTGGCGTGTCTTCGTTGGGACCCAGCAGGGTCCCAAGGCCCCAGTAGCCTTGGCCATGTCTTTCAACCCCTTGTAACCCGCGAAGGTTCTAGAAACTTAGGGCTTTGGGTTCCCTTAGCCTGAAGTGCTCTACGCTCGGAAAGGCGGGAAGGAGGGGCTGCTCTTGAGACTTCAGAAGCTGCTGGGCAGTCTACCTTGGCAATTCAACATGCGGACATCGACCATTGGCAGCTAAGGTTGTGCCTACGGCCGCGGTGGCCACGGTGGCGCAGGAGAAAGCTGCAGCAGCACGCCGAGGCCAGCTTGGTGTTTCCTCCGCCCTGCCCGGCCACACGCCTTAAAACCTTCACCCTGTGTACACTCGCTGTACCTCTTCTGAGACTCCAAGGGGCTGATTCCTGGAGCATTGACAGCCAGGCTTGCCAATGGTTGAACGGCCCGGGTCGACGGCCTCTGTGGAAGAAAAAGGGGGCGGGCTGGATGAAGTTTTTAGGTAGTTAGGCTGCCTTCTTGCACCAGCAAGAACTAAGAACTAAGGTGATCAGTTGCAAAAGCTGAAGCTGCAGCGATGAAGGGGACCGTCGATTCGCACTCGAAAGCAGGCGTGCATACGCGAGTAAAGTGGCTGGACTCGGTTTTACCACTACTCTTGCCTGGGAGGAGTATCCCCAAATTCAGGCTAGGAACCTGCGCCTCGATCCTCACAGGTAGGAGCTTAGGTTTTGCCATGGCCACCGGCCATGCCCAACTATGACTTTTCTATGCCAAGACATCTTGGACAGCAGACTGCAACAATTGATCACAGTGTCTGGATGGCAGCTCACTTGCAGTGGCAAGACTTATGGTTTCGTAAGCGGGTGTTATCGCTCTCGGCGGCAACAGTGCGCCCCCACCTCTAAGGTAGAACCAGGTTGCTCCAACAGATCAATTCTCTGGAGGTTAGGGGGCTGGGGCAAGTATTCACGGGATGTTTTGTCTTGCTGAGTGTTTTTTGTCCAAAGACAGAGTTGCTCGACTGGGAAGACACGGCGACAGAGGACGCAAGGTGCCTTCGTGCGAACCGTCACATCCTGCGTCGTTCCTGTTTGTGTCTGTGGCCGGGGGGCGGGGGGGGGGGGGGGGGGGGGGCGGGGGGGGGGGGGGGGGGGGGATTGCGGGGCGGGGCAGGATAGGCCGCGTTCTATGTATTCGCGTGTTTTGTTGTTGAAAGTTGTTGTTTGTTTGTTTCTGCTCTTCCTTTTTTGTTTTCCACTTTTTCCTGTTTTTTTGTTGCTGTCCTGCTTTGTGCTTTCCGTTTATTGCAACAAGTTGTCAGGAATTGCTGTGGTGAACGGTTATGTTGTTTTCGTTTGTGCGTGTGTGTGCGTTTCTATTGTGACTTCCCAATGATGTAGTAGGTGCTGTGTGCCCTTGATGGTTTGGACACCTTGTCATGTTCTATCCGGTTTATAAATTGAGCAAAATTTGCACAGCCTACTTTCCTTCCGCGAGGGCGACGCCAAGAGTCAACAAGACAACCTTGCGCAGAGACCAAAGAACACAAAGCAAAAACCACTAAGAAAACAAATATTGAAACGGCAGGAGGCAAAAGGCGGAAATGCAGGGAAATGCAGATAACAATGAATATTCACAAAGCAGGACCAACTGAGGCAGAAAGCAGAAACCAAAACCAGAAGCAGCAAGAAGCAAAATGCCGAACGCAAAACAAATGCAAAGCAGTAATGGCAATTGTTTCGACAAACTTGCTAACCCTTTTCGTTACCCGATTGCAGTGGGGGGTTCTGGTTACTATATAAAATGACCTGAGATCAGGACAGTTAATGGGGTGCGTGTGTGTGTGTGTGTGTGTGTGTGTGTGTGTGTGTGTGTGTGTGTGTGCGTGGGTGTGTGGTGTGTGTGTGTGTGTGGGTGTGTGTGTGTGTGTGTGTGTGTGTGTGTGTGTGTGTGTGTGTGTGTGTGTGTGTGCGGGGGCTGTTTTCCCTCGCAGAGGAAAGGAGCTTTCTTCTGGTAGAGCTAGGATAGTAGAAAGAGCTAATTTCGAAGGAAAGTGATCCAGATAGTAGAGGTTTCCCCTAACTGGATAAAGGAAATAGAAGATTTCCACTAAATTCCACTATAGCGCAATGAGTTTTTTGTATCAACAAGGTGTCCTGATTAATATATAGAGGACATATACAGGAGGGTTCACATCAGCATGCAAAAGAAGCCCGCCACAATGAAACTCCTTTGTGCCTCAGGGAGGGCGTGCAAGAACCAGCGCCAGCGCAGTCTCGCAGGCGAAAAGAGCAGCTCGCGAAGGAGGCAGAGCGCCTGGAGGCTTGCACGCATGGCAGACTTCCAACTGCTTCTGCCGTTCCTCCTGCTGCTCCGCTCCTGCTCTGCTCCCCACCCCTTTTAACGATTGCATGACCGAAACGCTATTTGACACCCTTCAGGTTAACCCAAGTATTGGCTCGAGTCTCAGCAAGCTTGGGTAATCAAGACCGAAATGATGCATGCTATTCGACCTCTGTGATTTTCCAGCAATTGCCTGCTCAAACCCGCTGCGGAAGTTCCAAGAGAGATCGGTCATGATGCTCGCGCGCCATTGAGGCGACAAAAGGCTAGAGCAGCTACACTTCTGCATCATTTCGCATGAGCCTCTTGATGTTGACAAAGCCTACAGCGCCGTGAACTCACGATGCGCCATGATAAACAGTGCTCGGTGTTTGTTTAGGCGTTGGGGGGCGGGGGGGGGGGGTGCTGGGAATACCAACTGCCTCCGTGTGCTTCCGGGGTTCCGAGACAAGTCTCCCGACTTCAGTTTTGCTACTGTTGCTCTCGTTGGACAAGGTAGTGTGTCCCCGCATCAAGACAGTCACATCCCAAGTTTTTTGTGCTGTTGCCAGTATATGTTAGCCAACAGCTGGCCTGTATATTTGTGACGGAACTGAAGACTGGAGATACAGGGTCAGCGGCTATAGGCCCCGTCGAAACGCGCTCGGTACCAACTGGGGGCACGGTTCCGGGTCGGCGCAAGTGCTGCGTCTAGATGCCAGGCAGTGGCGCTCGTCACAGACGTTCGGCAATGAATATGTGATGCTCTTGATTGCTTGTTTTTTTGCAGATTCTTCATAAGGCTGCCCCACTCACACGTCAAGAGATGAATGACTTACTGTTTCCTGTTTTCACGGCGTCAGCGAGCAATTCGCTGGTCCAGGGGAGGGTCGGGGTTTTCAAAGCGGGGGGATTGGCAAGTCCTAGCGACCAGTGGGTTTGGCCTAAAGCGGGGAGAAGGAAAGGTTTTTTGAGAATCTTCATAAAGACGCCTCAGGCCCTGCGAATGGTGTCAGTAAAGAGATTGTGTGGCATGGGGCGATGTGTGCGTGCCCGACGGGTGAAGCCGATGACAAATGAGGTTTCTGAGAGGTTTCAGGCATTGGAAGGGGGAGCTTCCGTGAGCTTGAAACTCAAGCTGTCCATTGCTCGTCCGGGTCTTTAGGGCTGCTGAAGCTGCAGGGTCTTTGCAACGCTGCGATGCGCCTGAAGACGGCGTGTGTCACTTGCAGCGGAGCTCCCATACTGTTTGACGACGTAGATGATGGATGATTGAGGGTTCGTGAGTGATGCTTGGGATGAATTGGATGCTTTATGAACCTGAGTTGAAGCGCGTGATGGGATGAGAAGTTGCCTCCTTTAAGGAGATGAGGCTTGGGCTATTCTCCGGGACTCGAGCCCTCCGAGTTGTTGCAAGCCACCGAAGACTTTCCTTGACGCGGTTGCGGGCTTGTCGTATCTAGTCGTGCTGGGGTGAGGAGGATCATGAATCGAGTTCTGAGGTGCCTCAGTTTCCTGAGACAGGAATCTCATATGAAGCGTGGTCCGATCCGGGTTTCTGCGCAAAGCCTTGTCAAGACCAAATCAGTACATCAACATTTGGAGAGTGTGTTCTAGAAAAGGCAGACGCTGGCCGTCACAGGTGCCACATTGTCATGTGTGGAAAAGCCCTGCCGGCCCTGGGAGAATCCAACTTGGAGATGCCGCGTGCCACTTATGCCTGTTGATCGCAGAGGCGGTGTGTCATCAATATGCGTTGGCGACGTGGGATGTGCTGTAGCCAATAGCTGCATTCCTGAACGCACCTGCGAGGCCAAGAGACTTTAGGCAGCCTCTCGTGGTAAGTCGCCGGCGGTCGTCGCGCACAGACTCTGCGCGCAAGCACTATTTGCTGGTGATGTTCAATGCGGTGTACAGACAGTACGCGTGAAATTACCATGCTTGTGTTGGTGAGGGTGTACACGGACGATGAACGGAATCAACCCAGCCCTCCCCTCCCCCTTTTCCGCCCTCGCTCCCCCCGCCTTGCCCCTCCGCTTCCGCCCCAGCCCCCGTCGTCATGGAACCTGCTTCGCCCGGCAGCATCCGGCAGCGTACTACGACGACGAGTTCTACCGCTGCTACTGCCACTGCCACTGCCGCTGCTCAACTATCTGCGGTTAATTCCTCGCCAACAGCTACCAGTGCCGCCTGTTAACTACGACGTGCTACTGCGGGGTAGCTGAGTTGCTCTACGACTTTTACTATGGCCGTTTTCACGCGAAGTTGCCGCTTTTGCATATTTGTTGAGTATTTTGTCAAGTGTCAAGCAGGCGCAGCGGCGGGCCTACATGAAGGACAATGTCTCCGAAGTTCCGGCATTTTGTATCTGACTCTTGGTTCGAGGGGGTTGCGCGGCATGCACCTCAAGCCCTTGGGCTAAGTGGCTAAGCCTAAACCCAGGGTGTTTGATTGATGTTGTTTAGGTTTGCTGAGCCGAGCGACAGAGGAAGCCGCCAAGCGCAAGGCCAAGGAGGAGGAGAAGAGAAGACGAGATTGGGAGGCCGGGCGGGATGCAACAGAATGTGAAAGTGGGACTGAGCTCGGGACAGCTCAGGGTAGCCCACTTCGCACAGCGAAGCTCACTTCGCTCGGGAAACTGAAGAATTTGAAGAAGGGATTCAAAAGTTTTACAGGGGGATTGCGAATGGAATTAGAATGTTGAATGCTGATTAGTTTCAGACTCAGCTCGGGCATCTGAGGAGGGATGGGTTCAGGCTCTCAAGTTTCAGTGCTTCAGTTTTGCTCAAGCTCAGCTCAGAAGATCTCAGAAGCGAAATTTGAATGATTTCACACTTGTAAATTTTCGGACGACCTGAAACCTTAACACAGGGGAGATCACGCCTATGTGATCACGCTCAATATTGCGGAAAATTGGGGTTTAACCTAATCAGCAGGGCGGCCAGGGATTGAAAGCGCAAGGCCTCTTATCCGCGATCGGCAGAAAAAGGTCTTGCGTGAACATGTACTTTATGAAAATTACAGG